ATATATATTCTATTATCTTCTGATTTTTTAAAAATCCAAACATGACATTTACATACAATAGAATTCAAATAAATTTAATCCCTTCAGCCAACAGTGCCTGATAGACTCTTAATTCAGCCCCTTGTCCAAAATTTTTAAATGTTCTCTTTTTGTTCTGATTGTAGCATGATTTTATCTTGGTATTCTCTTATCCGTGAACTAATTGTAAAGTTAGCCACCATCAACACAAACAGTATCTGTAATATCTAGTAGTTGTGTGTGGAAAAGGAAGTCAGAGTGAATTAATGAAAATAAATAGATAAGTGGGCGAGTGTATAAACAGGAACTCTGCCCTGTCCACAGCCTTGTTATCTGCTGCCATGAGGTGGTTAGGACTCAGAACAGTCTCTTCCTTCCAGCTGCTGGCCATAGCCTAAGAAAGCTTCCCCCCACCCCACCCTGCCCCCTTTGGGGGGGTTTTCCACTCTTTTCTAAAGCTCCCTTAGTTATGGTTTCTATTGCTGTGAAAAGACACCATGACCAGGGCAACTCTGTTTGTTTGTTGTCTTTTGAGACAGGGTTTCTCTGTGTAACCTAAGCTATAGAGTGAGCTAAATAAAGAGAACCCCTGCACCTTTGGGGGATTTTCCACTGTTGTCAGAGCTCTTCCTCAGCCTAGGAATACGGTCACATATTGACTAGGTAGACCACAGTGGTGTCACAGGTTTCTAGGAATCCAGTCAGTGCAAACCCCATGTCTTCAATCATCTGACAGGTGTCTGGTTACTTCCCAGCACACCTGGGCTATGGCCTGGTGAATGGCCTTGGATCCCGTGGGAACGGCTTCGTGAGCAAGGAGATTCGTAGCCAGTGCTGCCACCACAGAGCCCTTTCCTGGCGTGCTTGCCTTCTTTATTCTTGGTCTGACCAAGGCCTGAGAACTGGGTCAGAGGCCATCACTATAATTTAATAGGCCTTCATTTACTAATAGGTTTTTAAGTTTTTTATGTGGATCTGTGCCTGTGCATCTTGGTCTTAAAGACACCTCTCAGTAACAATGCTCTCTGTAGGTCAGGCTTGTCATAAGCTTGAAGGCTTTCCCCCAGTTGTGACTGTCACATCCACCTGGTCTTTTGCATCGCAATTCCTAACCTCCTCCCATCCCCTCTAAAGCTATTCCATTTCTCTTCTGCAACACGTCAGTTCCTCAGTAGGTTGACTCAACATCCATTCCTACACCTCTCCTGGCACTCTCTGGAAAGTGAGTTAATCACTTGCTCTCCTTTGTGTCATGTGTGAACATGTGATAGTTTTAGGTACAAGTACAGTTAGAAGTGCAGGCTTACTTTGCAACATAAAGGTACAATGCTTGAAGATCATCTTGGAACCAAGAAGATAAAAAATTCAGACCAATGATGGTAAAGGGAGAAAAGAAAGCATCTTGTTTTCCTGGGGGTAATCATGGCTACTAAGATGACGTAGCGGCCCTGGGTGTTCAACTCCTTAAAGCTGGGAAAAGTAACCCCTTGTTTGTGTCTCTTAGGGGTTCCTACTCAGCCAGCACTTCCTACCAGAGTTGTTAATTCTCCAACTTCCCCAAATCCCATGGAAGAAAGCAGTTCCCTCTACCTCAGCTGCCATAGCTTGTCCTGCCGGGCAGTCAGTAGTAAACCAGGTTTACGATGTTTCTGCAGGCCCTCCTTTTTCTTCTCAGAGTTAGCAGTGTCTAACCTGATGTCAGCTTTGGTGAACAGCTTGACGGGAAGACATCCAGCGGGAGCCCAGGCTCACCATTTGCTGGTTTTAACTTTTTTCTCTTCTTTTTGTACCACAGTTTTCTGTGCTACATTGCTCACTGTAAAGTAAGTAACCTTGACTACTACCTGACAGTGGGAATAAGTACACAAGTAATAGTAATGTTGATGAATCAGTCTGAAATTGAGGTAATCTTGGAATAAAGAAGGAAGGAAACTTAAATATGTCCCAGGCCAAGCATGTCATCAAAACTCAAGTCACCCCAGCTTCCCAGAAACAATCTCTGAAGAGAAATGCTGGGCCTGGAGTGGGCTTTTGAAACCTCACTAACACACTTCACACCCACTCCAACAAAGCCACACTTCCTAATCCTTCACAAATAATGTCACTCCCTGATGACTAAGCATTCAAATCTATGTGCTTATGGAGGCCTTATTCAAACAACCTTTCTCTTAAAACTCTATTATTATTGTGTACACATGATGTCTGTGTGGAAGTGTGTGGTGATATTTTGTTCATGATCTACCAAATAAAGCTTATCTGAAGATCAGAGTGCAAAGCTAGCCACACTAGTTAGCCATAGAGGCCAGGCAATGGTGGCAAACATCTTTTAATCCCAGCACTTGGGAGACAGAAGCAGACAGAGCTACACAAAATTGATCTAAAAAAGAGAGCTCACACAAAGGTGATCCCAGCACTTGGAGTCACATGCCTTTAATCCCAGCACTAAGAAGGTGGAGACAGGAGACAGGACAGATGATGTCTAGGCAGGCAGTCTGAGGAGCAGGGGTCTAGGCAGTCTGAGGACAGGGTTGCCCCTTTGGTCTGAGCATTGGTAGAAGTGAGAACTCTCTAGTGGCTGGCCACTTTGCTTCTTCAGCATTAATCCCAATATCTAACTCTGAGATTTTGTTATTAAGGACAATTAGAATTCATGCTACAGAAATGGAGGGACTGCATGTAGAGATCAGTAGTCAATTCTGTGTACCTGGTTCTTTCCACCTTTTCTTCCCACAGGTAGAACTCATGTTGCAGGTTCACACTGCAAGTACCTCTAACAGCAGATTTATCTTGCTGCCCCTCTCCCCTTTTTCTTTAATGAGATGGTACCTTGCTTTGTAGCCAAGGTAAGCCTTTAACTCTTGATCCTCCTGCCTTAGCCTCCCAAGTAGGATTACAGGTATGTGCATGACACTCTGCTTGATTCAAATTTGTGTATTAATGTGTATGCTATGTATGTGTACATGCATGAATGTGTGTTTGCATGTGTATAAAGGTCAAAGGACAACCTCAAGTGTCATTCCTTAGGACCTGTTCATCTTGTTTTTAAGTCAGGCTCTTTTGCTGGCCTGGAGCTTACATAGTAAGTTAGGCTGGAAGCCAGGGAGCCCTAGGGCCCTACCTGCCCCCCAGCACTTCAAGTACAAGCCACCATGCCCAGCTTTGGTACATGGGTTGCGGGGGATCAAACTCAGGCTGTTTGCTTTGCAAGGAGTTTATCAACTGAGCTATACATCTCCACCCTGATTGAGACAGCTTGATAGAAAACTTATGTAAATTCTGGAATACGTCACAAAACTTACACCCAAGAACTAGGATAGGCTGGGATAATTTTCTCAAATATTCATGTTAACATTTGTGAAAAAGAAATATTTAAGGCCCATCTTTTTAAATAAGTTAATCTACTAGTAATTAGAAACATAACAATGTGAACTTTTGCTTCATTTGACTATTCAGTGTAGAATACAAAGATATTAAGTTTAAGGACAAGTTACTGGGGAAAAGGATTTCTATTTTTGTTTCCACAGAAAATGAAAAGATGTGGATTCCTTCCAGACTAATGTGGTTTGATTAAGCCAGACCACCTGAAACAGAGTACCAGGTGATCCTACATTCAAAAAAGCTGGACAAAGCAGCCTTACAGAGTACAGCCAGGATTTCTGAATCTTCTTCGAATCCCCCATGACAGCGCCCTTTACCCGCAGGAAGTAGTTTGGAAAGAATGACGCCCAAATTCCCAAATATTGTCTATGTTTGATTTCATTTAAATGGACTTGGTTATATAAAATAAAAAAAAATATTTAAAAAAAAAAGAATACAAAGACAAGTCTGCTGCCATGGCCTAGTGTCAACTAAGATAGCTACAGTTTTTGACGGGATGGAATTTAAATCATACACTAAACAACTCCCATTACTGAGGGCCTATTTTGGGTATCATGAATAAAAACACACATCCTCTGCACAGAGAAACATTCCTCCAGGGTAGGCATGGGACTACAGATACCTGAAGTGAAATGCAATTGCTGAAAGGGTAGACTGATTTCTAGAGGCCACTGGGGTCTGGGTTTCATGAGGAGACAGAATTTAAGGACTTTAGGGTGGGGATGTAGCTCAATAGCAGAACACCTGTCTAGACTATATAAAGCCCCAAGTTTGATCTTCTAAATCACAAAACTTAGAAGAACCTTGTGAAAGCCTTCAGTAGAGTGGAACTAGGCAGTATGAACAAAGGCACAGCACCAGGAAAACCAGGAAGGGCAGGCATCAGGCAGTTCAATAGTAGCTGGGAGGAAGGGTAAGCTGGGAATACTAGCAAGACCTACCAGGGAAAGCCTTAGACAATAGATCAATACTAAACAATGGCAGCCACTAGAATTGGATGATAGGAAACTGAAAATTCAATCTATTATAAAAAATACAAGTATCTATCAAAGAAGTGGTGAGAATAAAAAATGGTCTTGGATTTTATTTTCTTAGTCTCTATATAGTACTGGCTAAGTCTGGAACTTGCTATGTAGACCAGACTGGCCTTGTACTGACAGAGATCCTCTTGCCTCTGCCACTTGAGTGCTGAGATTAAAAATATATACCTGCTCAGTCTAATGATTTGATTTTGTCTGTTTGTATACAGGGTCTCTGTGTGACTCTGGCTGTCCTGGAACTCATTCTGTAGACCAAGCTGGCCTTGAACTCACAGAGATCTGCCAGTCTCTACTTACAGAGTGCTGAGATTAAAGATGTGTGCCACTACTACCCAGCCTAATAATTTGGATTTTTAAAAACTTTAATTAAATGCTAAATGTCCACTTTATCAGTAAGTCAGTCTTTAATTTTCCTTAATTCTGTTACTTATGGATGATTAATCTTACCTACTTTAAATTTGGAGTACCACAAGAATATTTCTATTTAATATCATCCTGAGGGGAGGCATCCTATTTCCTATTTACATACTTCAAAAGAAAATTAATAAACAAATCCAAAATAAACCCACTGTAAAAATATATTTTAATCTCATACTGGAATATTAGCATTTAGAAAGTCATTTCCAACAATATTTACAATGAACTTTATTGTAGTTTTTTTCCTAAGGAGGAAGATGCTTCTTCCCAACTTTGGGATGCCAGAAAAAGGTAAAAGAGTTCTGATGAAAATCATTAAGATTATGTCAAATTCTCATAAATTCCTGTGTTTAAAACTTCTGTCTGCGTAGATCAGGATAGAGGCGGCAAGTGGGTGCCTGCCCATTCCTCCTCTGTATGAGACCAAGTTGCATTTGAAACATACAACTGGCTTTCCCAGGCAAAGCACACCAAGAGTCCTCAGCAAATGGTTTAACTTCGAGTCTTTGGATTATCAAAACTAATGACTTCCAAGACAGTCAGCAGTCACTACCCTAATAATAGGAAAGTGTTACGGGGCCTGAGGCCTGAGTAGAAAGAAGGGATGTCTACATTGTAGATCAAAGGCACGATTGAAGAACGATCTCACAGAAGCAGCAGGTGCTAACAGTAAAAGGCAGTTGGACTAAAGCAGCTGAATGCCTACAGCATGAGTTCTAAGTTTTAGAGAGCCAGAGCTAATAAAATCACCTACCAATTGCTTTCTGTAGGGCTAAAGCAGCTAAGGTCTGCTTATAGAGAAGGAAAAAAAAGATGGTGTTGCTTTCTGAAACACATTTTGATTTAGTCCCTGATCAGAAATCTAAGTAAGCCAGATGTAGTGGCACACACCTTTAATCCCAGCACTCGGGAGGTAGTGGCAAGTGGAGCTCTGTGAGTTCGAGGCCATCCTGGTCTACAGAGCAAGTTCCAGTACTACGCAAAAAAAACCCTGTCTTGAGGAGAAAAACACCAGAAATCTAAAACTTGATGTTCTGTACCTATATAAAAATACAGTTCATGTGTCTGGATAAATAAATTTGAATAAAAATAGACATTCATGTTTCTAATGGTTTCCCTGGAAACTGCCACTTTTGTCTGGGGAAATATGCATGGAATTTAATATTAAACTTCAGATTCATCCTTTTCCCACCCTGTAATTTTTCTAAGCAACAGGTGCTAAATGAGTTAATAATTAGGGATATTAGGATTAAAAACTTCCTCAAGTCATATTTCCATGGAGGAGCTTCATGAAAGAAGTATCTGGCATTAATTAGTTGTGGTGTAATCCCAACACTCAAGGACTCAAGGAGGGTGAGGCAGAGAGATCTCAAAAACCTAAAAAAAAAAAAAAAGACAGACTTCAAGTGAAAAAATGTGTGGCATATCTCATTATATTAAAATATAAGAAATTGGAAATCTGGTTTTATTTTGCAGTGTGTATGTATGTTCTGGGGATTAAAACCAAATCTTCATACATGCTACATAACATGCCCCAGGTTTGGTTTTGTAACTATACGTGGTTGGTAACTGTTTCCTTAATAGTTATTGCAGGAGTAGGTCCAACATGAGTCCATATGTAGCCCTTCTCTGGTCTGGTGGGGACTGTAGGAAATGGAGAGGACCTTGACTTGAAATACTCAGAAGGTGCATGGCAGACAAATTCCAGGTACTCCATCTTCCTTGGAAGGTCTTCCTCTGGCCCTAAGAGGCAGCACATGGAAAAGGTAAACACACTTTAGAGCATGGGTATTTTTATGACATGTTAGCACTCTTAGACACTAAAAGGAAGCACTTGGGATTACTTTGTGTGACTTTGAAGTCACACTGATTAAGGAGTGCAGCACCCTGGAATATTGACTGCTTACAGTTTCTAAAGCCTGTATTCTTCTGAGTACTTTGTATCTGTTCACACTTTGACTCCTCACGACTTCCCCATGGGCACTATTCTTTCCTACTTGACATCCAAGGACAATGAGGAAAGACAGGTTAAGACTGGCAAGCGGAGGGGAGGGGTGAGGAAAGCCAGGTCTGTCCCCAGGGCTTTGTGCTTTGACTCTCCAGCATGTGACATCATGTGAGGCAGGGAAGAATCTCAAACAAAAAGGAACGGAGAGGAGCCCAGAGGGATGCAGAACAGAATGGCCTCTGCTGGTACCACATTTTAGGGACAAGATATGTTTGGTCACATAACAAACTCGAAGCATGAGTGACAACAGCAGTGGGGTATTAGCTGTCCTTGGAGTTCTCACTAAGAGAAATGTAAAGTTTCCCTTTGGGGTGTAAAATGAATGCATGCCCGATACACAAAGAATGACAAGGACAGACTAACAAAAGAAAACTGAACACTCAAAATTGATTTAGCCAGTCATTTTTTGAATCTGTCAAGAATTACTCCTGCTGTATCCTTTGAATGCCTGGAAATGATCAACCTAGTACAGTGTGCCATTGTAAGCATTAACAATGATTTCTTTTGAGAATAGGATGTCATGTATGCTGTACAGAGGGATATACCTGAGAATTTATAGTTGTTAGAAATAATTAGGAAAGTTCTTTTAAAAATCATTTTTGAGGAATTTTATAAGTAACATATATAACCTAGGTTTCTGTGTAATTCTTTTTGTATAATTTAGGCCTGTGTCACACAAACAAATCTTATCCATGTCATATTTTAGTGGGTACATACTGCTCTAACCCACAGAAACAGATGATACTCAAATACCAGCTGTATAAAATGCCTACAATGTTCTCTACTTTTTTGTACTTACTGATATTTATGTCTTTTTTATTCTGGTTAAACTATGTTCTCAAGCTCTAAATTCATATGCTGATGGTCTGGCTTCATATGTTTTATGCTGGTGATGGACCATTAGTCTAGACAGGTAACCAAGGTCAAGTAAAGCCAAAAAGAGTGGGCCCCCTCAACTCTAGACAAAGAACTCCAGGCAACTAAGACTGAGAGTGAGAGAATTGGTCATGGTATTTCCTTACAGCAATAGAACAGTAACTAAGCCATGCCCCATCCCACTACTACCAAATGGTCAGCCCTGAAATCATAGGAATAAAGTAACCTTAAATGGACTGAGCAGGTTGTATTTATGTATTTAGAAATATACATTAACATATAAAGCAACTAAATAATTAACAATAAAAGAAATGGGGTGCGTGGAAAGACTAGAGAGGGGGAAGGAGAAAATAATATAATTGTATTTTAATTAAAAAAAAAAAAAGGACTATGAGAGTTAGAGAGGTCAAAGACACCACAAGAAAACCCACAGAATCAACTAATGTGTGCTCATAGGGGCTGAACTGACAACCAGAGAGCTTGCATGGGACTGACCCTTTGCACATTTTTACAGTTGTGTAGCTTGGTTTTCTCATGGGACTCCAATAGTGGGAGCAGGGGCAGTCCCTGGCTCTGTTATCTGCTTTTGGGACCCTTTCTTCCTACTGTGTTGCCTTGCCCAGCCTTAACTGGAGAGGAGGTGCCTATTCCCACTGCAACTTGGCATGTCATGGCTGGCGGATGTCCATGGGAGGCCTGCCTGTATCTGAAGAGAAAGGAGGAAGAGAGGATGGGAGGAAAGGGAGAAGATTGGGGGAAGGGACTGGGAGGAGAAGAGGGAGAGGAAACTGATGGGGCTGGAAAAAAATGAATTAATTAATAATAATAAAAAAAAGTAGATCCCTATCTGAAAGACTGATGTCCTTCAACCAGGCAGCCTGCATAGTCCCTAGGCTTTCAACATATATGTGACAGTTGTACAGCTTAGCTTTTTTGCAGGACTCCTAACAGTGGGAGCGGGGGCTATCTCTGATTCTTTTGCTGGCTTTTGGAACCCTGTTCCTCATACTGGGTTGCCTTACTCAGCCTTAATACACGGGGAGGTGCTTAGTCCTACCACAACTTGATATGTTATATTTTGTTGATAACCCTGGGAAGTCTGCCCTTTTCTGAATAGAAATGAGGAAGAGTGGATTGTTGGGGGCAGGGGAGAAGGGGGGGGGTAGGGACAGGAAGGAGAGAATGGAGGGGAAAGTGTGGTCAGGATGTAAATTAAATAAATTAAAACAACAAACAAAGAAACAAACGAGAGAGGGTGACAGGCAGCAAAGAACCAAGCTTGTAAATGAAGGAGTCAAGAACCTGGCAAGGGCAAAGGACAGAACTGCTCCTCAATGACTGAGGTAGTAGAATCTTATTTTACAATGAAACAAACAAGTGTGCAGGATGTTTTATAAAACCATGATTATGTTTAAAAGTAAAATATTCTTTTGGGGTACTCAGAGGGGAAGAGGCTGGTGTCCTTATAAGAAGAAATGGAGAGTTCTTTCAATGTGCACATGCAGAGCGAAGACCATGGAGGAGGCGGGGGTAGGGGGAGTGGGGATGGGAGGCACACAGCAAAAGGCAGCCACCTGCAAGCCAGGAGGCAGGGCCTGACAGACAGACACCTGCAAGCCAGGAAGCAGGGCCTGACAGACAGACACCTGCAAGCCAGGAAGCAGGGCCTGACAGACAGACACCTGCAAGCCAGGAAGCAGGGCCTGACCACACAGCCCCTCTTCACAGCACCTGATCTGACTTCCACCCTTCAGAGCAGCCTGCTGGCTAACATCCTTTTATAAAGCACTGGAGAATTCATTAAATTTAAGAAGCTGTCCTGGTAAGCAACCTTACCTATTATATAGGACGCTGGATCAAACTGGTCCCTGGGGCTGGCGAGGGTAGGAATGAGCCACGTCAGTGCTGCACTCTTCTCACAGTACTGGTCCTGAATAAAGCCCCTGATCTGGGCATAGTACGGCTTTCCATCTTGCTCATCAATCACAGAAACAACATCACCAATTTGATAATATACTCCCTGGGGGAAACAGAAGATCATCTTGTATTTAAAATAGTAACAGATCACAGTAACCAACAAAACATTAACAGCAAGCAAATTTCAAAACAGGAAAAAAAAAAAAAAAAAAAAAAAAGGTCTGAGTACCACCAATGTCATTATGTTAACATTTGTTTCAATTATGAATGAAAAATTATATTCATACATATATATGACAATTTGCAACTGGGGAAATATTTCTTTATGTAAATTCTTTGATTTGTGTATCATGAAAGTACTATCTTTACTTTGAAAAGAAAGACCACTTTTAAGAATGGTTTTGAAGTCACAATAAATCAGGGAAAACAGAGCTAGGGAACTTCCCCTAGTCTCCTTTCTTGGCACATATACGGCATCCTTCTTCATCCGTGTCCCCAGTATCAGAGTGAAACTTATGGCAACTGCTATGCCTACACATTACATCATGACTCAAACATCGTAAATTAACCTTAATCTTGGTGCTCTATAACCTGTGGACATGTGTAACAATGGGTCTACTTTGATCATATCAATGGGTAGTTTCACTGGCCTAACCATCTTCTATACTATCCCTACTGATGTTTTTTAACCCAGTCATTAGTAGAAAAGTTATATGACTGCTGAAGTCCACACAAGGCAGAAACTGCAAACTGTGTGCCCATACTAACTAGCTTAGTGGTTTTCCTGAACTACCCTAAAGATCAGCATTTGTTTGGTGAGTCTAGACTCTACACATTGCCCTCTCCAGTTGTCTATTCAAAGATAATAAATATGGTAAGTTAAATCCAAAAGAAACAATGAGATTTTTTTTTTATTATAATCAGCATTCAGGATATGGATATGTTCACCCTCAAGTTACCACACATTTCCCAGACTCCTTGACAACTGTCTCCCCCACACCCTTTCTATTTATGTATCTTCCCAACAATATGACTATGATATACTCATTTCCTGTTCTACTTTATATCTAACCAACAAATCTGTGATTATGAATTCTCTCCCATGACTCTACTATCTATCCCAAGTTCTCTTCCGTAGATCCCAAGCTGGAAAAATTTCATCTTTGAATATCCATAATGGTTGATCTTTATGATATGCAGAACTTTCCTTAAGTGTGTGTAATCCTCAACAGGTCAAAGTTTCCTCAACTACAGGAATAATGTGCATTAGTCTTGAAACAAGGCTTTTGTAGCAGCCAAAGCTGTTAAGATGCATGAAGTTTAACCATAGAAAGATTCTGAATGAATACATCCAGTAATTCAATTTCAACACCGGCATCTGACAGACCAGGGGTTTCTCCTAGTGGTTGCTTGTTCATGTGTCTGAGGTAACAAACACCTGGGTCCCAAAGAATGTGCAATGTCATTAGAGGCTACAGTCTACTACTTATTGGTCCACAGCTATTATCAGCTGGTCCTTTCCTGTCCCTACTACTCCAATGTTGGTTTGTTATCTGCTATGTTCACACATAATTTCTCCAAAATTATAAAAGGTTGTATTTGTTTATCATAGGCACTCACATATATACTGAGTATGAATCACAAATATGTAACAGTGTGAAAATAACACTGCAATGCCAAGATAAGGTCCAAGTGAAAAGTTTCAATGGCAGGCACTGCCTGGCAGCCTCCCTTATATGCAGGGGAAAACATTCTAATACCCTAGGAGATATCCGAAATCTTGGATACTGCTATACTCTAGGCACTCCAAATTTTCCTCCTATACATCCATACTTATAGTTTGGATAAGAGATTAACAGCAATAACTAGTAATGAATAGAACTAGCAATAAAACAGAACTGAAATTGCAGATAAGGGAGACTACCTAACAAGCATCACTAAGACACTCTTTTTGAACAGAGAAAAAGGAGGTGAATGTGTGGAGGAACACTGGATTGGGACTGACACACTGAGTTCATGCAGCGCTAACAGTGCAGTACTCCAGAAAGGTCACTTACCCATTCTGCTTATTGTATGTCTACATTCTCATCTGTCAATCTTACTGACCCCCACTCATTTCTCTCTCTCCCTCTCTCCCTCTCTCTCTAGGTGTAGGTGCTGGCTGGATGTAGGTGCTGGGAACTGAACTCGGGTCCTCTGAGAGAGCAGTATATGCCCTTGACCACTGCCCTACCTCTCCAGTCCCTCCTCACACATGCTTGATATGGGGTTCCAGTTCGGCTTAGAAGCTCGCACTGATCTCTTGAACTTGTTGCCACCACGATGCTGGCTCTGTTGTAAGAGTGTCCACACTGCTGGCTATCTGAAACATTACTTGAACATTTTGCTGTATTTTGGTCTTACTATTTAAAAAACAAAGCAGTAGATACCAATAAGAAAAGACTGATCTTTGCAATAAAGAATCCCGTGTACTGTTACATTAACATACACAGAAATCACTAGTACACTAAATTTTTATCTTCTAGACTTAACCTATACACTGTATGAACAGCTGGGGAAGTTCTACACAAATCTGAAGCTGTGGTGATGACCATTTGTACCTTGCTAGATGTTTAACATGCATAATCTCAGGAAGTAATTACTACTTACAATCTTTATTTTTCAGATAACCACCTGCCAAGGCAAGGAGCCAAGATCCAATTCCTGGGCTTAGGTTCTAGCACCAGACTGCCTTGCCTCACGCCTTGCCAGCTACACTATCTTGGATAAACTAATTAATCTCTCTTTGAGTCAATATCCTTATTCATAAAATGAAGAAAACAGTGCTCATCCCGGAGGAGACTGAATAACAAAACACTTATAGACCACTGCTTGGTCTATAAGATGCATGTGTGCAAGCATTTGAGCATGTATGCACTCATTCATACTCACACACTCAACTTCATCCAGTGATTAACAATTAACAATGTACTAAATTCTAGAATATAGGAGAAATTCTGGCCTATGATGTACTTTTTTTGACTAAAATACTTGTGAGCTAACAAAAACATATCATTCAAAGTCAAACCACTTGAGTACCATGAGGGGTTTGGCCCAGTGAGTTAGGTAGAAAGCATCAACTCACCACTGCCTCCTGCAGGACAGTTCAGATCCCAAACACCAAAGGAAATTAATGATTACTGCCTACAGCAGACCTGACAGCCTTAAGGGCATTTTCTATGTTCTAACTCCTTTTGTGTCTTCCACTTTAAAAGTAATGAGATATCACACCCCACACTGAAGTCTTGGGTATCTGCTTTGGATCAAGGGAAGACCTTATTTTATCAACAAAATCTTGGACAGTGAACTAAGAATACCCTTGTTCAGATTTTTGGTTTTTGTGTATGGGTGTTCTGACTGCAAGGAAGGTTGTATACCATGTGTGTACCTGGTGTCCAAAGAGGCCAGAAGGTGTCAGATCTTCTGGAACTGGAATTACTGATGGTTGTGAGCTACCATGTGGGTCCTGGGAATTAAACCTGGGTCCTCTGGAGGAACAGCCAGTGATCTTAACTGCTGAGCTATCTCTCCAGCCCAATTTTAAAAACGTTTTCTTTTTACTGACAATAGATTCATCCAATGCATCCCGACCAGTTTCCCCTCCCTCTACTCTACCCAGTTCCCCCTGCACCTCACCGCTCCCCAGATTCACTTCCCCCTTCATTTACCTTCAGAAAAGAGCAGACCTCTGAGAGACAACACCAAACACCAAGTTAACAGCCATGCACATATATACACAGAGGACCTGGTACCTCTACCTTATTTCTCTTGCTTCTGCTGTAAGTCAGTTCACAATCACTAACCCGCTCTACCCACCAGACAGCATGGTCAACGTTGTTCATTCATTCATTCCTACAGTAGTCCTTCTCAACCATCGATGCCTTCGCTTTGAATAGGATGACTCACTGTTACACAACTCCACACTATACACTAGCACTGTAAGAACAATTTCTTAGCACCTCCATATCATATTCTCACAGGCAACTTCCCTCCTACCTGAGCTCCAGATGAGATGTTTTACAACAGCCACCTGGAGGGAACAGCTTAGAAGGGCACTGAACAGGTAACCACAGTGTCTTCACAAAGTAGCAGAGATGTTCCGACTAAGCCAGTATTTCAGGAGCATACTGTCCAACAGCCCCCATTGCTCTTTCAGTAACTCCACAGCAGCTTACCTTGAAGAAGATGGATTCTGCAGTAATTATAGTGGAAACAGATTCAGGAGCTTTGATAGGCTATAAGAAAACAAAAAGAAAAATATTTGTGTATGTACATAGTATGTATGCATGGTCATTTTCCCAAACACACAAGAACTGGGTTATTTGAGAAAAACAAAACATTGTTATTTGGTGACAAAAACTGCAGGAAAAATTTCTGACAGGTGTGATTGTACATATATGTAATCCCAACACTTGGAAACCTGAAGCAGGAGGATGGCAAGCTCCAAATCAGTCTGGGTTATACAGAAAAAGAGTACACACATGCACATGCACATGCACACACACGCCACACATGTACACACATCACACACGTGCACACAATGAAAAAGAATTGTTTGAATGTTGATGTGAAGCAACTGAATATTTTCAACTATATTTGCAACCAATAATTTAAAAGTTGCTAAAAACAAGAGATAAAGTTTCTGATTATGTCACTAAGTGCTAACACAGAGCTTTCTCTGAGCTCTAGTAGACATTAAGGTTCAATTATATAAATAAACTAGCTCTAAAAGTCTGAGCACGACACAATGGAAATTATAAAAAAAATGTACAGGTGAATATAAAATGAAAAATTTTAATTTTTATGCAAGCCTGAACTCTGGTGTTTTAGTAATATGCCATATTACACCATCACTAAAATTCCTTTTAAAAATTGCAATACAAACTTCATCACAACATTAAAAAATGATCTCTCCCATGATTTTATGCCATTCTTGAAGAATGAAGATGCAGAGAAATGAATAATGAAATAACTCAAGAACACAAGCTGAGAAAATATACCTGTTATACAAATGTTAACTTCTTGACTACTCAAAAAAATTTTAGTTTAAGAAAACTAAATTTAAAAAAAAATCTTAAACTATAGAAACCATTATTTTTGATTAAGAGAAGTCACTGGTTGGCAGATGGCTCAGTGCTTAACAGCACTTGCCATGCAAGCCTGACCTGTACTCATGTGCAAACAAACAATAAATTAGAAGAGGAAAGAAACTCGGGCCTGGAGAGAAAGCTCAGTGGTTAAGAGTACTTGTTGTTCTTACAGAGGACCAGGATTCAGACCCCCAGCACCCCTATGGCAGGTCATATCACAATTGTCTGTAACTCCAGTACCAAGGGATCAGATGCCCTCTGCCAGCCTCTGAGGCTACTTGGTATACACATACAGGCAAAACGCTCATACACATAGAATAAAAACAAATATTTAAACAAGAGCCTACAGTCTGGGCCCCTCTGTTCTATAAATGAGTGTGTCTACTTTAGTAATGTGTTTACTGGTAAGTGAAGCATTACTTTTGTCCCCAAAGTCAATACCAAACCTACATATGTCTCATATGTAAAATAATAAAACATCACAGCAAACATCTCCAGCATGAGACTTTAAACAATCTCCATACATCAGGTTTAGAAAACAAATGTGGATTCATATTCACAAGTTCATCATGAACCAATAGATACATTTTCCTGGGGCTATCATAACAAATATGGTGTTGATGACTTCTGCTCTTACTTTGCATAGAGAATGTGACACATTGAGATAACTTATACAATATTTCTTAGACTCATATTTTATATTTTCCAGATGAAAAAGTAAAAGCTGGAGGAAAAAAACCAGAGAAAGTGGTTTTTTAACGGTATAAATAGCAAGTTCTTAAACAGGGCTCGCTCAACTTTTGGAGAACCCTGCCTTCCCAGAATTACGCAGAAAGGTTCCCAAGAGGAACACCTTCAAGAGGTCCACATCCAAAATGATGAATGGAGAAAGCAACGGCAAAGCACAACACACACAACGTCCTACATACAGTAAATGCACCGTCCACGATCATCTTACGTTTTTTAATTTAAAAATATGCCTTCTCCCTTTTCCTTTAGTGGAAACTTTCTTTTCAGCAGCCGGAGCAGATTTGTATTTCGTATTTCTGAGCCGAGCAGACCTTCTGTGAATTTCTTGCTTACTCTGTTACATAATTTTGAGAAAAAGAAATTAAAACTGTAGAAGAAAATCCAATGTAATAATCTCACAAAGATCAGAGGACGTACTTTGTTAAAATATTACTTAAAACAGAGGGCTAAGATGAATAAACCTCTGCAGGACCTCCCAAGAGGTGGCGCTGTTTACAAGAGGGAAGGAGGACAGGAGTGGGCGGAGGCCAAGGCGGGAAGTATTCGTTTGCAGAGGCTATCTATCACCCGGGAAAATTACCTCTAATTTACACCTCACTCCACCCCACAAGTTGTCCACACATCTCACAGCAGAGTTCTAATGCTGTCATTTTACACGACCTAATAATCTATGACTAGCATGATGACAAGGCCTTAACTGGCTAGGGCCCTGGGACCACAACCCTGGGGCGTGCGGCATAGCTCAGCTGACAGACGCGGTGTTCGGGACCGGAGTCTGCAGCTCGCCGGGCTCACCTGCTTGCCGCCCCCGCCCCCGTTGCTCTGCGGAGGGCCGGCCGAGGTGCTGGCGAAGGTGGCCGAGCCGAAGCCGCCGGCGCCCCCGGTCCCGCCCGCCACCCCCGCGCCGCCGCCGCCGCCGCCGCCGCCCCGGCCGGTGCAGTGGTGACAGAGGATCTCGCCCTGTGGGCTCTTCTTCCACATGGAGGAGGACGTGGTCTTGCACGCGCTGCAGGTGGGCTTCAGGCCCAGCGGCATGGTGGCCGGCTCGGGCGGCCCGCGCGGGCGGAGCGACACGGGAATGGCGCTCGTCGGCACCGGCCGCCCAGGGGTCGGCCCGCCACCCCGGCGACTGGAAGAGCGGGAGACGCAAGGTCTGCGGTGCTGTGCCGCCCGCGCCGGTGCCCAGCGGCCGCCACTGCCCCCAGGAAGCGCGAAGCGGGCGCCCCGGGACCCGGCCCTGCCGCTGGGCCGCCCGCGGGGGACGCAGGCCCGGTACTCCGCCTGACCTCCCGGGAAAGCCAGCTCTGGTCAGCGGACGGACCCCGCGGTGGACGGGGCAGCGGCGACAGCAAAGCCTGACCTCCGCCCACCGGAGCTTCCGGCGATGGGCGGGGCTTCCGGCGACCGGCAGGACTCCCGGGGAGGGGCGGGGCTCCCGGGGAGGGGCGGGGCGGGGCTCCCGGGGAGAGGCGGGGCTCCCGGGGAGGGGAGGGGCCCCTGGGGAGGGACGGGGCGGAGCCCCCGGGGAGGGGCGGGGCGGGGCTCCCGGGGAGGGAGGGGCTCCCAGGGACGGGAGTGATCCCCGGGGAGGGAGGGGGGTCCTGGGGAGGGACGGGGCGGGGCCCCCGGGAAGGGAGGGGCGGGGCTCCCGGGGAGGGAGGGGCGGGGCCCCCGGGGAGGGAGGGGCTCCCAGGGACAGGAGTGATCCCCGGGGAGGGAGGGGGTCCTGGGGAGGGAGGGGCTTCCAAGGAGGAGCGAGGCTCCCGAGGAGGGGCGGGGCGGGGCTCCTGGGGAGAGGCGGGACTCCCAGGGAGGGGCGGGGCCCCGGGGAGGGAGGGGGAGCGAGGCTTCCGAGGAGGGGCGGGGTGGGACTCCCAGGGAGGGGAGGGGCCCCCGGGGAGGGACGGGGCGGGGCTCTCGGGGAGGGGTAGGGTGGGGTGGGGCTCCCGGGAGGGGAGGGGCTCCCGGGGAGGGGCGGGGCGGAGCCTAGTAAGCCAGTGTAGCAGACCTAGGTCTTCAGACAGTAAGAGTTACCTTTGCTCTTCAAACTAAAGGTGAATTTCGAATGAACAACTATTTAGTGAGAGTAGCCCATGTAATACTTGTTATCTGAGATCCACATTTACCCAAGTATCTTGTGCTTTTATTTATTTGATAAACTAAGGCGTTTTGAGAGGGACTCTTAGAGTCTTAAAAAAAATTTTTTTTTAACTTGGAGGCTGAGGTGGTAAATTTCTACGGAAGGAAGCTTTTGGGCCTGAGTTTGATTCCCAGTACCCACATAACAAGCCACGTGTGTTAGGATTGAAGAGATGGCTAAGACTAGAGCCAATATTAGCACCTACTCAGTCTATGAAACTTACTCAAAATTATCACGTGACATATTCGAATTGGGTCTAAGAAATTCCCGTACTAAGAGCATTCAGACAGGAAAGAGCTAAAACACCAACTTGGATCCGTGAGATTAGAGACTTATTTTACTTGGGCTAATGTAGTAGTGCCGTGCGCTGAATACTTATGTGAAGGGTCTGTAAGTTAGCAGGCCAGTTGGGCTAAAGTTAGCAATGTACAGAGAAGTATTCCTGTCGATTTTTGTTCATAAGTTACAAAAATTATTACAGTTTTGTATGACACAGTTGGGTTCTGAGCTGGGATATTTGTATCTTTTTATGGATGAGCTTAGGTTTTACCTAGTTATTTGCACTATGAACAAACAACTCACAACACCTTCACCTTCCTGACATTTAAAATAGTGAATACTAGCATAAGTGTTTCCAAAGACGATTACTGAATACTGCTTTAATTAGGAGTAGTTACTAAAATAATCTATGTCTTTTCTTCTGTGAACTTTGGCTTGAAGAACTGAACACACAGAAATCTTGATTTGAATCACTGCAAAACTAATAATTCTTTGGGAGAGTCATTAGCAAAACCAGACATAATATTGTCCTGGAAAAGAGACTTTGATTAATTTGAAAGGATAAACCTGAACATTGGCTATGGTTGCTGAAGTTCCCTGGGAAACAAGCCCAAAGAATGAGGGAAATCATTGGTACTGATTTCAGGTAAAGGTTTTATTGAGTTGACTGCACTTTGGGTGGTCTTTTTGTCTTATGTATGTGTATGTATGTGTTCATATGTGTATGAACACACATACCTGTGTACATATATGAACATGTGTGTGGAGAGTAGAGGTCTTCCTCAATCTCTTTCCACCTTTTTTTCTTTGACAGTCTTTCCCTGACTGAGCTATCTCCCCAGCCCATTTTGGGGGTGGGAATTCCGGGGGGGCAGGATCTTCTGGTACACACTATGGAACCCAGACTGGCCTCAAACCTGCAGTGATTCAGTCCACAGCCTCCTAAGTACTGAGATTACAAGTGTGAGCCACCTCATCTAACACAATGCATCATTGTGTTTCTAACAGCATCTAAGTTTTGGTGCCTTACAGTTCTACTCTCTTCTTTTTTCAGGCCCACTCCCCTGTACTCCCAGAGACCCACCACACTGCCTGCTCCCTCCTCCAGTTCCCCGGGGTATTTCCACATTCCTCCCAACAATTTCACTCTCTCTCTCTCTCTCTCTCTCTCTCTCTCTCTCTCTCTCTCTCTCTCTCTCTCTCTGCAGATGTGCAAGGGTGTAGCCATATACTGAGCTTGAACAACCCAGTAGTGAGCAAACCTCCAAAAAAAAAAAAAAAAAGTCTTCCTTTCTCACCAGCCATCAACTGCCAATAGCTCCTCATCTAGGAGTGGGCTCATGGGTCCCCGTCCTGTTCATGCTGGAATTTTGCCTGGCTCAATATTGTTCAGGTAAGCACAGCTACTGTGAGTCATGAGTGTAACATGTCATCTCAGTGCAGTGCAGGTGGAGATGGGTGGATCCCTGGGGCTCACTGACCAGCCTGTCTGGCCTAATCAAAGAGTCCCAGATCCCAGAGAGAGACCTGCACCACAAAATAGGGGGTGGGGGGGAAACAGCTCCTGAAGAATGAAACCAGAAATTAAGCTCTGGTCTCCAAATGTGAGTGGATATACATTAGTGTCCACTTGTGAACACACACACACACATGCTTGTGCATGTGTACCCACAACACAACCATGCATCACATACACACAAACATGCATATATACATACCTGCACATGTGCACATATGCACCAATAAAGGAAAGGTGAAAGTATCAAATGGGAAAAAATATTTTTCACCCCCAAATCTTCTCCCATCAGGAGGCAGGGTCTCATCCAGGGGTTGGCAGTTGTTCCTCCTCTCTGAACTGAGGTCCTCTATAGTGAGGATGCTGCTACTGGCCAGCTTCATTCATACCATCAGTGACTGTGCTTGCACACAGAGCTGACTCTACAAGTAGCTTCTTCATGCAGATGCCTTGGAGCAGTGATTCTCTACCTGCGGGTTGCAAAAAAATAATTTTATGGTTGGTGTCACCACAACATGAGGAACTGTATTAAAGGGTCACTGCCTTAGAGTGTAGCAGCATTTGCTGCAAGCACCAGTAGGAATTAATCAAAGAAGATTAATTCTTGGGGATCAAATCAAGAGGTGAGAGAGATGAGCAATACCATATGAAGGTTCTTTCCTAGTCCTCTCCTCCCTCAAGGGTACTTCAGGAAGACTATGAGATACAGGGAGCCAAATCATGGCTCCCTGAAGTGTCACAGGGAGGTATCTCAGACGAACACATGTCTTAATCCATTTGTGCTGCTCTAGCAAATTTCTGGAGATAGTATTTATGAGGAACAGACTTTTTCATAGTTATCATTGCTGAATCCTATTCACCAGGATTTCACTCTCCTTCATTATTCTCTTTTAAGTACCCTACCTGAGCAGAGTATGTGAGACGAGGAAGATTGAGTCAGGGGAGGAATAGAGAGCAATAAATAAATAAATAAATAAATAAATAAATAAATAAATAAATAAATAAATGAGAGAGACAGACAGATACATAATAGAGGGAGCCATTATAGGTTTGAAGAGAAAACTGACTCTAGAGAAATGTCCAGAGACCTACAAGGATGACCCCAACTAACACTCTGAACAACAGTGGAAAGGTGGAAAGGCTACCTTAAATGCCATTCTCTGATAATGAGATTAATGACTAACTTATATGCCATCATAGAACCTTCGTCTAGTAACTGATGGAAACATAAGCAGACACCCACAGCTAAATATTGAGCCGAACTCCTGGAATCCAGTTGCAGAGAGGGAGGAGTGATAAGAAAATGGGGGCAAGACCAGGCTATAGAAACCCGCAGAGACAGCTGACCTGAACGAGGAGGAGCTAATGGACTCCCAGACTGATAGCTGGAAAACCAGCATTAGACCGACTCAGACCCCCTGAACATGGGTCTCAGTTAGAAGGCATGGGCAGTCTAAGGGACCTCTGACAGTGGAATCAGGATGCATCCCTAGTGCAGGAATGAACTTTGGGAGCTCATTCCCCATGGAGGGATACTCCCTTTTTCTAGAGACACGGGGTCTCAAATGATGAGACAGACTTTGATGATCCCTCCTAGAAGGCCTCATCCTCCCTGAGGAGTGAATGGGGAATGGGATGGGGAGGTCAGTGGGGAGCATGGGAGGGTGGGAGGGAGAGGGAACTGGGATCGATGTGTAAAATAAGAAAAAATATTTTAAAAAATAGTAAAAATATTGAAAAAATAAACAGTAACAACAACAACAAAAAGGCACATGACCTCACTATCTCTGGGTGGCTGACTAGTTTCTAATGCCAAGCACAATCTCCCTTCTACTGAATGCCTTAAGTCCAATTAGACAGCTGTTGACTCCACCAAAATGTGGGCGCCGCTATTTCACCATTAGGGGTGTCTTGGCATGCAGGTGATTGCTGTAGTTCATAGGCATCACAACTGGATATGGTCCATTGACTGTATCCTTCCCTTGGCAGCTTGCATACTTTCTACTACACTGGCAATTAAGTTTCAACAAGTGAATTGGGGAAATACATTCAAACCATAGCACCCAATGAGAGAGGCTCAATCTGGAGCCATCTGGAAGGGTTCAACTGGATCATACTTGGTGTATTATGAGATGTGCAAGAAAATTTTCATCATGCTATGTGTACATAATCTGTTAAAACAAAAATAGATGTCTCTGAAGGCCTTCAACATTTTACACTAGCGGGGAAAAAAAAGCTAAGCCAACTTCCTTAGGTGGTTGTTGCTTTCAGTGTGTGGTATAATTTACAGGATTTTACATTTTGCATGATTCTGCATAGTTCACTGATTCAAACTCTCAAGACAAGAACAGAACCGTTGTATAAAACATATCACAGGCTGGTTTCAAAAGAGATGATCCCATTTTGTCACCTGATGATTATAGTCTGCAGAGGATCCACAGGCCGTGTGTATCCTGTATGTTAAAGGGATGGGACTGCCATTAAATTTCTACTTGGTTTCCTCGCCTGCTGAATGAATGGTAACAGAGGCCATAGATCACACAGTTGATGGTCTTAAGTGAATAGTACATGTACAATGTAAATTACTGCTACATCTAAGAAAGACCTGTGTAATGTCAACTATGAGGTTGATGATAATGGATTTCTTTTGACCAAACTGCAGTTAATTCATTAGCTATAATCTTGACATGTAAACAAATAAATTATTAACTGCATTTGGGAGGGGGAAACATGTAATTAGTTCAGACTGACTGTTTACGCCAACAAACTAGAGACTGGGGACCTATGAGATTGAGGTTCGAAAGAAGAAGCAGATATTCTTACTGACGTTTTTTTTCTTTTCGGCTGGGGTGAGTGAGGGTTAGTGAGCATATGTCCTCCCCCGAGGCAGGCCTTCTGGACTTTCTATGCTGTAAGCGTTTTCTGGTAAGATAGTCTTGCTTCCCACTCTCATTATTTGCCTCAGAGTAGTGTCATTTTTGCCTGCATTGTACTTCTCCCAACCTCCACAGCTAACACTGTCTATGAACCAGCCAACATTTCCTCTCCACCTCCATAGTTGTAAATGTCTATTTTTTCTTACAATGCCTCCTTCTTTCTCCCTTACAAGTACACTGTGCACTTGGAGCTGTACAGGGACGGAATATATCTTTTCTGTTCTTTCACCTCCTCGCTCTCTGTACATAGTAAGCAGGCACTAAGTTTAACGAACCGGTTGGTAAAAAGCTCCAGAGAGGACAAGGTTCCCTCTTTCTCTACAAATCCCAGGGAAGAAGGGCTCATGGTAGCTGCTCACCTGGTCACATGTCTTCTCTCACCAAACAGCCTGATTTAGGTCTTCCAGGGTTTCCCATGGATCTGTGACCACGAGGAAGGGAGCACAAAAGTCAGCATGGTCTACCAGAGAGACCAGTTCATACTTTGCTAAAACCGAGCCTTCTCATCTGAAATAATGGTGCAGGACCTCTGGAGTTTTATGAGCATCTTCCTCTTGCTGAGAAGAAAGTGATGGATAGCTTCATCATGAACAGAGCCTCTTGCTCCACGACGTGGAGCCGATTTGAAGACCTGAGTGTAGGTCACCTTGAGATCCAATGGAGAGTGCATTGGCTAGCCTGGGGATCGACAGAGTGGGCTTGACTTAGCAACCCTCTTCCTGATAGGAAGGTTCCACCCACTCCATACTCCAACTGTCAACTCTCTTAACTGTCACCCAGAACCTTGCTTCTCAATCCTACCACCTGCCTGGCTGTTCTTTGGATGGCTGCTGGCTTAGGAGTTAGGAGAGCTTTCCGAGAACCAGGTGAAAGCATCATTTGTATTTCGGGGGCCAACCAAACATACTTCCTTAAGGAAAAGTCAATTTTGGGGGGTTTTGGTTGCTTTTGTCTTTGAATGCTTTGAAAAATCTTGCTGTCTCTCCTGATTTTTAGGACACTATAGACACCGACTGGTTATCTGAGCATCTTTCGAGGATCTTCAGCTTGAAGTTTTCTTTCTCAGAGGAGCCCCAGACTTTATCATAGAGGGAAATATTTCTTTTTGTCTTCAAAATGTAAATATGCTATTATTGTTATTATTATTATTTGGAATAAATAACCACTGTAAAAATTCATTTAAGTCAAGTAGCTCAGTTGTTTCAGAATAATAATCAGTCCTGTTTGTAGTATTTCTTTCCAGTCAGAGAGGGGGAGGAAATAGTAATTCAATCTTCTTAAATAGTATTCTCAAATTGTGCTTTCTAAATTCAAAACTGTATCATAGTGAACTTCACATTGGTTCATGTATATGTACATGTTTTTGTGTCTGAACCAAAATTAATTTAACTACTTCCCTCCTTGTGGGTAATGGGCTGTGGGAAGTTTTTGCCAGTATAAATAATGAGTGATGTACTGAATCCTACTTTACATGTACCTTTGTCTTCATGCGTTTATGGAATAAATTACTCCAGCTATAACTGTTGGGTCTAAAGTGCTACAAATTTGGAATTCTGGTAGATATCACTAAATTATCTCTCCAGAGGAAACTTCTTATTGCTGTGAGATATTGTACATCAAGTGTGACAATCTACTATACAGAGCTGACTTGATGCTTAGGACCCATGATTGTTTTAGAGTAACAAAAATATTTTAATTTTGCTTAAAATGAAGAGAAAATTGTGAACATAATAATGGGTAACTTATAATGAATCCTCTTTGGCTTATATCAGTATTTCTGCCTACAAGAAAATTTAAGTTGATAATTATTTAAATTAAATACATTTACTGTTTTGTGGAAGAGAGAGCTCAGTAGCAGAAACAGGTAATTTATGGCAACCATAATGTATCTCTGTGTTATCTTTTTCTTTATAGCCTTATGACCATGAAAATCATCTTCTTTATGCAAAAAATACATTTAACTACTGTCTTTATTTGCAGCTCTTTGGTTGTTTTGTGAGGTGTTATCTCCCAAAGCTTACTGGCTACTTAGATTTTTTTTTTTTTTTTTTATGAATTGGTTGTTTCTGTTCAATTCTCATTTTCATTGGGTTGCCATTATTTATCTTACTGCAGTACAATAAACATTGCAAATATTTTACCATTTCTTTATATCAGATTTATTGAATTTCCTACAATCTGAAATGATCTGTACCTTTTTTTATCATATCATTCTTATAAAAGCTTATCCAGATATTCCTTGTATCTGCTAATAAAGTATCTATGAGTATCATTATATATAACAATAGTTTCAGTTCACATGTGCATTAGCTACTTTTATGTGGCAAAACACCATAACCGAGGCAACCTAGAAAAGAAAGTGTTTAGTTGGGATTATGGTTTCAGAAGTTTAGAGGTCTTGATGGCAGAACAAAGGCATGGTGGCAGCCAGCTGGAGCAGCAGCCATGTGCTCACACCCTGATCCACAGCAGAGTCAGGGCGAATACAGGGAATGCAAAGAGTCTTCCGAAGCTTCAAAGCGCACTCAAAAGTGACACTTCCCTTACACCCACCACTCCAAACCCTTCCCAAACAGTTCCATCAACTAGGGACCAAGGATTCAAACAAGCCTAAGGGAGTCAGTGGGGGTGGGGGACATCCTCATTCAGACCGGCACAACCTGTAATGCATCTTTGAATGATACATGAAATAACTATTAAACTGTTTTTGTTTCTAAGTGCAGAACTAGTTGTTCCAAAATCAGAGCACATAATTTCACCTTTATCAATTATTAAAATTCCATATATGCATCAATCTGTTCCTTGAATCTCTTCCACCCCATTGATCCATTTATTTATTGTTACACTGACACTATGGTTTTAATCATATAGTTTTATATCATATGTATCTGATATATATATGTATATATATATATGTATGTATTTTTATTTCTGCTAAAGTAAATCACTACTACATCTTTCAAATTTGTTCTTGATTTTCTCACATATTTATGACAGTGAACTTTAGTGTTACTAGGAAACTCTACTGAATCTTGTAAACTCTAGAGATTAATTGAAGGAAAAAGGATATCTTTATTAAGTGGCATCTGCTTCTCTAGGAACTTGGCAATTTTTTAGACTTCCTGTTTATACCATTCTGGCTTGACTGTTATCCTGGCTTTGCCATCTTTGTGTCCATCTTCTTGCTCCATCATATCCCTTGTGAGACAAGAAGCAGGCAGCAGGAGAGAGAACATGCTTGAAATCTTCCAACTTAGCTAGGCATGGTAGCACACGCCATTAACCCCAGCACTTGGGAGGCAGAGACAGGTGGATCTTTGAGTTCAATGCCAGCTTGGTCTACAGAGTGAGTTCCAGGATGACCAGGGCTACACAAAGAAACCCTGCCTTGAAAAGCAGCAGCAGCAGCAGCCAACAACAACAATAAAAACAGAATAAAGAAACAAAACCCCAAAAAGTAAAAAATAAAAAGAAAGAAAAAAAAGGAATCTTCACATGTGCCATGAAATGAGTGGAAGAGCCTACCTTTGCTTTGGGTCTCCATCTCGTGTGTTCCCGAGACTGGCCTTTTGGTTACCAGACACAGCAAGCCATGCTCAACTTCCTCAGCCACCATTTTTGGTGCCTGCTTTCACACTGGCTTCCTCTGCTCCTTCTTTACACTGTAGATAGAGTCTTTCTAGTCAGATCCCCAACCCCTTGGCTTGTAAACTTCAGTGCTTGCCCACTGCATTGTTTTTCTATTGCTGCTGATAGAACTTTGTGCAAACTTAGTGCCACAAAGCATAACAAACATTCGACCTCACAATTCTGTAGTCAGAAGTCCCATATCAGATTCACAGGGCTAAAACCAAGGTGCCAACACGGCTGAGTTCTTTTCTGGAGACTCCATGAGGAAATCGGTTGCTTGCCTTTTCCAACTGCTTCAGGCCACCTATGCTCTGTTCCAAGCTGCATCACTTTCACAATGCTCGTCACATTTTGACTTTCTTATTCTGTCCTTTATGTCTTCCTATCTTCTCAGTATGATCACAAAACAACTAAAATAAACTTCAGGATTTTATTGAATCTGGAACCATCTTACCTCAATGTCCTTGTGTGCATCCATAGTGTTTCTTTTAACAATCATAGTAACATTTCTAGGGTCCCTGGGGAGGGATGCAGAATCCTTGGGGGGCTATAATTCTTCCTGACTTACTGATGTCATTGAGAAACTCATAGAAGTTTCTTTAAATTATTCCAGCACCCCATCCCCAAGGGACAAAATCCCACAACTCCACTCTTTAATCTTAGCACACTATCAACTTCCCGATTCTGGAATATGAACATCTTCAATGTCTGGGACCTGTCTTGTATGCTTTCTCTGCTCCAGGCTGACTGTTCTATCTGGGGAAACCTTTCTCTATCTCTTCATTTGACAAAGTCCTATGCCACTTCCAGCCTTGCCCTACATGTCACTTTCCCTGGGAGTGTCTGAAAACCTCTTTTACTTCCAGTCTTTTCCTCTAGGTATCATCATCTCACATCCTCCCATGGCCCTGGCTCTCTTCTCTTGTTTTTAATATTGTCGTTCATCTGGATAGTTTCCTTGGACTCCTTACTAAATGAATTCAAAGGTTATTAATTCTATAATAGAAGGAAAGTTATTTTTCTCTACAGCAGTACTTTTCAACCTTCCTAAATGCTTTTAATAGAGATCCTTGTGTTATGATGACCTCTCCAACCATTAAATTATTTTCATTGCTATTTCATAACTGTAATTTTGCTACTGTTAAAAGTCATAATGTAAATATTATTTGGAGATAGAAGTTTGTAGATGGGGTCAAGTCCCACAGGCTGAGGACCAATGCTCTACAGGATCCGTCTTACAAGTAGTATCTGCTCACTCATTTAACAAATATTTATTATATGTTGATGTGAAATCCATGAACTCACAGCCATTATAAATAGGAAATAATCACTTGAAAGTTATAAGGATAGTAAGGTAATAGGGGTGTGGTCATAAAGACATGAATGACAGGTCTTCTCTTCCAGGAAAATAGACTTGGAGATCAGTGAGCCAGTCAACTTTGGCTCTGGAGATCATCAATACCTGGTTCAAAAAGCAGCAATTAAAGGTACCTCTTCTAAAGTGGATCAGCCCTTCACACATTCATCCAGAGACAAACCACAAGAAGCCATAAAATACCCACATTCAAAGCATAGAGATGCTGCAAATACCTATGCAGTACAAATTTCAGAAGACATTACTCCAAGTGAGAGCCTCACATCTCCACCCAATCCCTTCAACGACATGTCTGTTCGTAGAGGTAAGAGGATAGTACTTGGCTTGGAAAGAAGCAACATTTTTTCTGTTTTGTTTTGTTTTTTTTTTTGTTTTGTTTTGTTTTTAAATATGTCTCCATGTTGTGTGTTGTAATTTTAAAAAGTGGTGCTCGAGGGAAAGACACAATGTAACAGAGCTTGGGTGGAAGGTTGATTTTTCTTTTTGTTTGTTTGTTTGTTTGTTTGTTTTCAGTTGGGGGAAAGTAAATGGGAAAAAGCAAAATAGAGAAAGGAGACCAGCCTCTGGGTACAGGAGCCGCAGAAGAGAACTGAGAGGGAGAGAAGGGAAAAGAGAGGCAGAGAGGGAGAGAAGGAGAAACACAGAAATAGGCAGAGAGGCAGAGAGAGAGAGAGAGAAAGAGAGAGAGAGAGAGAGAAGTGGTGGACAGGGCCTTTTAAATGGAAACATAGTGAATGTGCACAGGTGGTGCTCTTAGTGGCTGAAGCTGAGAAGCTGAGGGTGTATCCTGTCAGAACCCCAAGGACAGGCCAGTACAGATGCCTGAGCACTAACAGTGCGTACTGCTGGAAAGAACGAATTCTCTTTTACTTTAGCTCTTCTGCTCTTGCTTATTATAAAATGCATCATAGGCTCCTGTAAGAGATCTCTATAATGTTGTTCGGGAGATTCAGAGATCCGTAATAAACATATGCCAAACAACATTCAGATTGTTTAGGAAGTGTGAGTTAACTGTTGATTATGAAATGTTTTGCCTACATACAACATAATCACATAATATTGGCCTATGTCTTTAAACATTAGTTCAATGTCCTAGATATTTATTCTGGACTAAGACAGGAATATATTCATCAAGGAATGACATAAATCTTAAAACTGTGACAAATGAATGAGAACCTTTCCTCATGACTATGGTGTTAGAGGATAGGTAGCAAAGGCCAATGCCATGGTTCTGCACTTGAGCCTCCTTGGGACCTGGAGAGCTTGTAGGTGGACTCTGAACTCTGATTTTCAGTGATGCCTCTCCATGGTCCTACCCTCTGCCATAGCCTGGAAAGAGGACTTTGGAAGCTCTAGCCTTTCAGGTTGGAAAGGGAAAGGGCCAAAGACCAAGGGCCAAGAGCAGACGAAGGTTCTCACAGCTCCAAGAAGTCCCATTCTTGAGATGAGTCCCAAGAGTTCTCCAAACTGGACTTCTTTAGAGGCTTCCTGGGACTAGGTTACTGCAAGAGCGAGCTTCGACCACCTGCTTGCTGTCAATCCCACCCGAAGCACATGTCTGTACTTGCTTTGTTGTACTGATTTCACAACATCTGGGTCAGAGCATGATGTAGCTAGGACAGATGTGTGTGTCGAAATGGTCAGCAGCCTAGATGCAAAAACCTTCAGAAGCCAGGGGCTTTGCAATTAGTCTTTACAACAACTCTCGGAATGAAGAAGTTACAGTGTCATGTTGGAGATGTGGAAGCCATATTTAGAGGGAAATCTGAAATGGATGTAGAAGCGCCCTCGCCAAGGTTAATGCTTTCCGCGGGGTCTTCTGGAGACAGGCAAGCCTTTCTCTGCCTTCACAAGTGGCACGGTGTATGAGATGAATGTGTGATGGAGGGAATGAAAGGAAGAAAACTAGCAAGGCAATGAAGGGAGAGTTAGGGAGGAGAGGCCTGTAATTCTTGAAAGCATCATATGAAAATACAACTTAAAATTCATTAAGTTCACCCACTTTAAGTGTACAATGTTTTTAAATAAATGTATACTTTTGCAGCCAGCACCATAATCCATTTGGGATCACATTTCTCACTTGAAAATGCAATCCATCAGGAGTTGCACCCATCTTCCTCTGCCTTGTTAGCTGCTAATCTACTGTAACCCTATGGACCTGGCTATTAAGGCATTTCCTACAAGTGGGGGCACAGAGCACATGCTCTCTTGGAAACATCCTTCCTTCATGAAGCATAAGGTTTTTAAGGTTCACCCACTCTGTAGTGAGTTCTTATTCATTTTTATGGTCACAGAGCATTTATTGCCCGGCAATACTACATTATATTGATGTATTTGTTATGGAGTTTGAATCCACTTGGAAAAGACCACAGATTCAATCCAACTTATGATTAAATGAATTTATTATTACTGCAAGCAGATCAATAGCCTTAAAGCCAAAATGAAGGTGTGCCATGCAGAATGGGCTAGAGGAGGGGCCTTTAAAGGTATAGACCACAATTTTGTCATTTTTATAGGATGAGGGATTGAACGACATCACAAGCATGGTCACTTTTTGAGGAATGGCAAAACTGTTCCAAAACAGCTGCACTACTTTTCATGTCCACTAAGAATGTATGAAGTTTCTGGTTTTTCAAAATCCTGGCCAATATTGGTTATTATCTTTTTTTTTCTGACTTCAAACATCCTCATGAGTGTGAAGTAGTATTACATAATATTTTTGGTTTGAGCTTTGCTCCCCCTCCTCCCCCCGCTTTTATTAAAATAGATTTTTCAATAAATACCATGTTTCAATAAAATATCAAGATTACAGTTTCTTCTCCTTCTACTCCTCCCACCCAAGTCCTCCCCTCCCCTCACATCTGGATTCGCCCTCTGTCTTTCATTAGAAAACAAACAGGTTTCTAAGGGATAATAATAAAATACAAGAAAATAAAATGTAAATAATATAAAACAAAAACTACCACATTGGAGTTGGACAAGATATACAGAAGGAAAAGAACATAAGAGAAGGCACAAAAATCAGAGACCCACTTGTTCACAAAGGAATCCATAAAATCCATGAAGTGGGAGCTGTAATGTATATGCAGAGGGACCTGGTGTAGAAAGGCCTTGTACATTCTTCCTCGGTCTCTGTGAGTTCCTATGGGCTTTGAGCATGTTAATTTGGTTGTCTTGTTTTCTAAGTGTCCTCCATCCCTTCTGACTCTTACACTCTTTCATCCCCTCGTCCAAGGGCTCCCCGAGGTCTGAGGGGAGGGATTTGATAAGAGACATCCCATTTGGGGCTGCGTGTTGGAAGCTCATTCACTTTACATAGAGTCTGGCGCAGGGGTGGGGGGGGTGTCTCTGTATTTGTTCTCATGTGCTGTAAGAGGAAACTTCTCTGATGATGGGCATTGATGAGCAAGGGCATTGATTTATGAGTGTATAACAGGATGTTATCAGGAGGCATTTTATTGCTACATTTTTTTCAGATCAGTAGTATTTGTTTTTCCCCTAGGTCCCTGGGCTATTTAGTCTCTGATTCAACCAGTGTTGGGTATGGGTTCCATGTCACAGAGTGGACCTTAGGTCAAATCAACAAATTAGTTGGTTACTCCTACATGCTTTGTGCCACCATTACACTAGCATTTCTTGCAGGCAGAACAACATTGTAGATCAAAGGGATTATGGCTGGTTTTGTGTTTATGTGTCTCCTTTGGTAGTGTGCAGATTACTTTCCTGTACCACGGATCTCAGCAAATAGGGGTAAAGGAGCTATGTAGGTACCTGCTCAACTTCCCCATGTTCAGAATTGTGTAGGTGTTATCTTCAACAATGAGACCTTGCTGTCAGTTAAAGAGAGTAACCTATAATCTTAATATAATCTTTGGGTCGTTTGGGGGTTCCCATGAGACCCCTTTGACCAACGATTCAATTGGATGCAACCCAGTCCTGGTACTTGAAGCTTCATTGGTGATGAGATGGCCAACTGGGGCTCTGTCTCCACCATTATTTGGTGACCTCATTTAGATGGCCTTCATATATGTTTATATTTTAGGAAGCTTCTACTGTATTAGGTTTTCATACTAGCCCTCAAATGGCCCTTAATTTTACCTGGCTCTCCCCATATCCCCTTCCTCATCCCTCTTTCACCTCCCACCTTGACCCTCCCATTCCAGCTTCACATCCATCCATCCATCCATCCATCCATCCATCCATCCATCCATCCGTATCTATTGTACTTCCCTTTTCTAAGAATCTATTTGGATTCTTCTACATGCGGCCATGCAATTTGACCAGCATCACTTATTGAAAATACTGCCTTTATTTTAATGCATATTTCTGGCTTCTTTATCAAAAATCAGGTGTCCATAGGTGTGTGGATTTATGTCTGGATTTTCAATTCGATTCCATGGAGTAATGTTTCTGCATTTGTGCCAATCATGTTGTTTTTATTACTATAGCTCTAAAGTATAACTTGACATTGGGAAGAGTGAGAGCTCCCAATAAAAATAATAATAAGTCCTCTTTTATTATTTGGGATTATCTTAGTGTTGGGTCCCAGGGGTGCACGAATAATGGAAACAGACTACCTAAGCCTAAAAACTAGAAGCAAACTTTATTCCAGTCACCATGGGGCACAAAAAAAAAAAAAAAAACACCTTCCAGTTTGGGCTTCTGACACTGTGACAATGGGAGCCGGTTTTGAGCCTCTTCTTATAGTAAAATCAAGTACCAGGAGTGGGTCAAAGAGCTTTTACAGTCTTGAAGTCACGATTAAAGTCCTGTTACATTGTAAGATTTACAACTTTTGATTAAAGGATGCTAACACAAGATGTTTGTGAAAGCCTGTAGCTAACACAGCTGCTTTCCATTGTCCCTGAAAGAATGCAAGGCAGAGATAGAGTAGACCACCTAGTACAACAGTTAAAAAGGATCCAATGCAGAGAGTCCCCTAGAGGCAATTGTTAGAAGCTAACCTTTGTCCACTATAACTGCCTAGCTGGAAACTGCCTAGCTGGAAGGCAGATGGCAATTGTTAAAAGTTAACAGTGACTGTTAGCTTCAATTTCCTCAGAATGTGTTTAGGCTTACAATTCTTATATTATGGACTCTTCATTAGTTATCCTGGTGTGTGTGTGTGTGTGTGTGTGTGTGTGTGTGTGTGTTTCCACATGAAGTTGAAAATTCTCCTTTTAAGATCTATGAAGGAATGTGTTGGGATTTTGATGGGAATTGAACCTGTAGATTGCTAATCCATGAGCATGGGAGCATCTTTTGATATAGTCTTCAATTTTTTTCTTCAATGTCTCCAAGTTTTTCGTTCGATTGTTTGTTTGTTTTACAAGTCTTTCCTTACTTAGAGTTATCCCAAGTTATTTTATATGATTTGAGGCTATTGTGAAAGGTGAAAGGTGTTGTTTTTCTGATTTATTTTTTCAGTCTGTTTGGGATTTGTATACAGAAGGACTTAATTTTACATCCAGCTGCACTGTTAAAATTGTTTTTTAGTTGTAGGAGTTTCTCAGTGGAAATTTTAGGGTCACTTATATGTGTTATCACATCATTTTCAAATAAACATACTTTGACTTCTCCCTTTCCAATTTGTATCCTCTTGATCTCCTTCACTTGTCTTATTCCTCTAGCTAAGACCTCAAGCAATATATTGAATAGATATGGAGAGAGTGGACAACCTTGTCTTGTTCCTGATTTTAGTGGAATTGCTTTGAGTTTCTATTTAAGTTCATGTTGGCTATGGGCTTGCCATAAGTTGCCTTTATGTTGTTGAGATATGTCCCTGCATCCCTAATCTTTCCAGAATTTTAATCATGAAGGGGTGCTGGATTTTGTCAAAGGCCTTTTCTGTATCTAATGAGATGATCATGTGTTTTTTGTTTTGTTTATATGGTGGGTTACATTTATTTATTTATGAATGTTGAACCATTCCTGCCTGTCTGGGATGAAGGGATCTTGGTGGATCTTTTTGATGTGTTCTTGGATTTGGTTTGCAAGTATTTTATTGAGATTTTTTTGCATCTATGTACATAAAGGAAATTGGTTTGTAATTTTCTTTATTGGTTTTTTATATGGTCAGGATAACTGTGGCACCATAAAATAAATTGGGCATTGTTCTTTCTCTATTTTGTGGAATAATTTGAAGAGTATTGGTATCAACTGTTCTTTGAAAGTCTGATAGAATTTTGTGCTAAAACCATCTGGACCTGGGTTTTTTTTTTTTTTTGTGGTTGCTCCTACAGTGACACACTTCCTCCAACAAGATCACATCTCCTAATAGTGCCATTGCCTTTGAGCCAATTACATTCAAACTACCTCAGGGTTTGTGAATCTTATTAATTTCTCAAAGAACAAGCACTTTGTTTCATTGGCTGTTTTTATTGTTTATATTTTTATCGATTTCAGTCCTGAGTTTGATTTTTTTCTTGCCATTTTGGGTGTGATTTCTTCTTTCTATTTTAAAGCTTTAAGGTGTGCTTTTAAGTTACTAGTATGAGCTTTCTCCAGGTTTTTGTTTTGTTTTGTTTGTTTGGTTGGTTGGTTTGGTTTGGTTTTTTGTTTGTAGGCACTTAGTGTTGTGAATTTTCCCTTAACACCAGCCTTCATTGTGTCCCAGGAGTTTGGGTGTGTTGTGCATTCATTTTCATTCAATTCTAGAAAGTCTTTCATTTCTTTTTAAATTTATGTCTTGGACCCATTTTTCATTCAGTAGTGAGTTATTCAGCTTCCATGAGTTTGTAAGCTTTCTGTTGTTTCTGTTAATGTTGAAATCCATCTTTAATACATAGTGATCAGATAGGATATGCAGGGTGTTATTTAAATTTTCCTTTATCTTTGGAGACTTGTTTGTATCTGAATATGGAGAACAGTTCTTTTGTAGTTGGGTGAAATTTTTGGCTATCTTACGGTGCTTCTATTGTGCTTCAGCTATGTTGAAATACTCAGGACCTGCTGTGATAGGGTTGCTGGGCTCTGGTAGAGACATTCTGTCCTTGATTCTATTGTGTTTTTCACATTGGCCTCTAAGTATCTGGGTTTGAGAAGATTGTATTTCTAGGTGCTGTTGTCTTGTCTTTGTTGGGTGACTGGTTCCTTGGTTTCTATTTCCCTTGCTGGCTCTTGGAGAGTGTGGTGGCTCTGTGTTGCCTGGTAAGAAATTCTTCTAGGGTCCTGATAGGTGTGGCTATGAGTGGTTCCAGGTAAAATGTGTTTCTGAGTATTGGGAATTGACACTTAGGAATGGAGGTGGGCTGGGGAAGTCCTGGGGGGATGCAGAGGAGAGAGGAAAGCAGGGTATTGCACCAGAATCTGCTTAGTCCCCTAAGAATGGTGCAGAGTGAGGAGAGGCCACAGCAGAAGGTTTGCTACAGAGCTGGGGGTGAGAACGGGGATTAAACTTGGAGAAGAGGAGGGAGAGGTGAATATCTGCTGTTAGCCTACCTGTTTCCTTGGTCAGAGTGTTCTGTTGGGTCCCAGGAAGACTTGCATTTTCATAATGATTAATGGCCTTGGACCTCTTTCTCATGCTTTTTAGCTCTCAACATGAAAGGACTACCATTCAAGTCCTTTGTCCATTTAAAAACATCATTAATGGCTTTATCATATCCCATGAGTCTGTGCATTGATCAGCCTTAGGCTTGACAGCAGGTACCCGCTGATCTCTCTCACCAACCCCAAGAAAACATTTTTAATAATTAGACTGTATAATCTTTTGGCTTGGTATGGTTTGGCTCTGTTTGGTTTCAAAATCCTAAACTGAAACATTCCTCTGGCTTCAGCCTTCTGAGTATCTGGGATTACCAGGGTATACCACTGAGGCTGGCTTTGATTAGATATTTTTTAAAAGTTCTACAGAGACCAAAACACATTGTGGAGATGTATGAGATTCTCAAAGAATTAACACACACACACACACACACACACACACACACACACACACACTTTAAGAAGTTCTCCAGAGTGATCTTGCTTTTGTTGTCCCATTTGCTGACTAAGCCAGCACCACCTTTTCCAGTCTCAAACGATGATGGGGACATTCCTTTCACTGAACTGGAAATTGCACTTAATTTGACCTTTAGATACCATGTCATAAAATAACCTCTTTCCCACAGGTTTCATTGTAAAGGTGTTCATAGTCCTGTCGGTTCAGCTGCTCACCACTATTGCTGTCATCAGCGTATTTGTTTTCTGGTGAGTTTCTCTTACTGTCTATCAGATGTGGGAATGCTCACGGGATCAGCTGACTTTAATTTGGAGCATCTCAAAAAGTATGTGTTTTTGTTCTTCATTTTTCATAGATGATAATCCTCCTATAGTCAGGTTTTTCTGAACCACCACTTAGGCTAACATGGTAGATTCTCGAATTTAACTTCCTAGGCCAAAAATGTTTCTCTTACTCTTTCTTTGGACATCTTTTTTTCTCTGAGCTAGTTTCTCAAGTATAACTGGATAAGGAGAAATAGGTGAGATTATAGAAGACTGGAACACAGTTAAATTCTGTAACTTTTTGAGGGACCCATCACCAAGTTCATCCTACTGACAGTGTTATTTGCAACACAAACCGTGAGTTGATTTCTTTAGTTTATACATATATCAGTATATATATATATATATATATATATATATATATATATATATATATGCTCTCACTTATAGCTCTGAATATCCTCACTATGTAGATCAGGCTGTCCTCACTATGTAGAATGGCAGGCCTCAAGCTCACCGACATCCACCTGCCTCTGCCTCCAAAGCGCTGGGATTAAGAATATGCACCACCATGCCTAGTTGTCAGTACTTTTAGAAATGACGGTCTTAACCATGTGCTTCCTCTTAAATTTGCTGTATAATTTAAGAAGAATAATTTTACACCGTGTCTTTCTTTTCTCAGCGCTGGGCATTTGAATCCAGTGTCTCACACATGCAGCCATTTATCCATTAAAAAGAATGTTTCAGTGCCTTCTCACCATTTGTCCTTATGAGCACTGAGAGTTTAGCCACCCTTCTCATAACACTGTTACACTTCTATTTTAGTTAGCAAAATTTACTGCTTTATGTGAAACTATATTCTTTTTTGAATCAGCAAACCTGTGAAAAAGTGGATCACCACCGTCCCTTGGTTCATGTATGCACTCATGTAAGTATCATTCATGATTCTATGTGCTGTTGAAGATTTAATCACTATTAAAAATGTGGTAAAGAGTAACATTCTTGCTGGGTATGGTGATGTGTGCCTATAAGCCCAACCCTTAGGAGGTGGAGATAGGGGCATCAGGAATTCAAGGCTAGCCTTGACTGCATAAGACTTTGATTCAAAGTAACACAAACTAAGAACAAAAAGGCAAGCAAAAACACCCAGGGTAAAGCATACTATTCTTATATTTTATTTGTTTTTCTTTATGTGTATTTGCATGTGTATCTGTGTGTATCTGTGTGCATGCGTGTTTGTGTTTGTCTGTGCACCATGCTACACAGGTGTCCACAGAGGGTGACAGAGAATGTTGGATCCCTTAGAACTGGAGTTGCTGATGTTTGTGAGCTGCCATTTTGGTGCTGGCAACCAAACCCAGGTCCCCCTGCAAGAACAGCAAGTGCACTAAAACTCTGATTCATCTCTCCAGTGTCAGAAATCAGGGTCAGTTGTGTGTAGGGTTCACACCAGGCAGATCTTTGGTAAGACAGTCCTGAATGTTAACTGAGGTGGTGGCTACATGTATTGACTCATAGACTCATGTCACACTTCCATGTTAAACAACGTGTTTACATTATACCAGTGTCCCATTAGTGGTTTTGAAATTGTACTATAAATACATAAATCAAAATCATTGATGAAAATTTCACATAGTTTTAATAGAACTTCTTTGTCCTGTTATAACTTCCTGTGAATCTACATTTTTAACAAAAAATTTAAAGGACAGCTGTCTGTGTATGGAAACCTTAAAAAGTTCATTTTGAAGGCTTAAAATAGAGGTAAGTAGGAAATAGCTATTTAGTTTGCTCTATGTATCAGGCGACAATACACTTACATATGTGCCCCTCTGCCTGTCTGCATACATGTGATGACATGCTTGCATCTGTGCCCCTCTGCCTGTCTGCACACACGTGATGACATGCTTGCATCTGTGCCCCTCTGCCTGTCTGCACACCCTGTTCTTGTCTTTGAGAACTGAAGCACTAAGTAGTGGTTTCACATCCCCAGGCCAGCAGTCATGGTTGTTGTCATCGTGCTTGCTTGCTGTAGGGACGTCCGACGCCAAGTGCCCGTGAACTACATTCTCCTGGCATTATTCGTAAGTAATTCCCTTTGGCAGGTGTGGGAGCCTCCCTCTGACACAGCCTTCTGTTGTCTTATTAACTTCATTACAATTCCTGTGGAAACTTCTGGTTCAGGGAGACAGGTAGGGAGTGTTTGTACAGACGCATGAACTTTTTGGGAGACAGTGTCCTCGCCCTTACCAGAGCTGGATTCTAGGCCGCTCTTAGATCTGCCTAGCTTGCCTCTCTTGAAGCCATTCAAGAACCCACACCCCAAGTCAGGGCTGTGTCTACAACTGACCCTGGCACTACCAGTCTCTGTCAGGACTAACAAACACATTTCTCATTAAGGAGTGGCTTCCACTTCTAACTCACAAGCCTATACACAAGAAATTTAATTTTCCTCATTTTGTAAGATGTATTTGTTTACTGAAAGACCCTCAGGGCAGTAAAAGCCATCTCTGAGCTTAGGTTCTTCCTCAGTTCTATGACGTTCCTCTCAATGCGGGAGCCTTATCACCGACAGAGCTGCCGCTGTGGTGTGGACCCTTAACTACTCACATGTCCCCACCCCCTGGTCCCATATCAGGCCTCATCATATCTATACTCCGGCCATCAGTGATGTTCTAGCCATACTGAATCACTTGGTTATCATTTTTTCAGCTAATTCTGAGTTGGGTTTTTTTTTTTTTTTTCTGCTCATGGGATCCCTGGCAACAAATAGATGAAATCCTAGACTCCTCGAACCCCAATACAACCAGAATCTCTGCAATTTCACTCCTACCAACCCAGGTTCAACACCCCAGAGAGTTCCAGGGCTTATCATGAGACTGAGCCGCACCTCAGTGTCACTCTCTAACCCAAGCCCTGTGACTCCTGGAGGCTTGGTTTTTCAGCAGCTGACTGGTAGAAATTGCCTGAGCTGTGTTGATGCTCTTGGGACAGTCCAGCACCTGCTCAGTGTGACTAAGGGTGGTGTCGGTCTTGTGTTTGTGTTACTTCTGTGTAGCGCTGACCATTCCTTCCTATGAAAATTGATTCATAGAGCTGGTTCCAAATTGGAGTGAGGTGGCTTAAGCCAGTATCTGCAATACAAGGAGATAAATGCATCGACGGGGAAATCAAATGGAAGGACAAAGAGCAGGGTGGCAAACACAGTTGTTAGAAGAGTGCAAAATGCACTGAGTGTATACTTGAATCCTGATGCTGGATTTAATTCTGTGTCTGTTGTGCTCAAAGCAAGCAGCTGCACAGGGCCAGCGATGCGAGTGCATGGAGGCCACGCAATGCTTATTATAATTTACCTGTTGAGTGGGATAGGCTAGGGGATGTGGTGGTCTGCCATCCATAGTGACATTTCCTTCTGAGTGTTGAGGAGCCCTTCTTGGCTGTAGTGGCTCCCAGCTCATTGCCCAGGCAATGCAGGATACGCCCCAGGCCCTGTGTGGCACTGTGTGGTAGCTTGTCCCCAGCTATCTTCTCAAGACTTTATCTTTTCTTGGATCAATTATTTCATGCTTCTCCATCTCCAGGAGGAATCCTGAAGCAGAAGGCAATGGGAAGAGGCAGGGGAAGAGAACTATTTTCCCACTATGTAGCCCTGACTGGTCTGGACTGGCTATAGAGACCAAGAGGGTCTCAGACTCACAGAGATCCACCTCTCCTCTGCCTCTCAAGAGTGCTAGGTGTGCACCACCACCACCTGGCTATGTTTGAAGTTTTTATTTTAAACATTTAAATAAATGTTGGGGACGCAGCTGGGCAATAGGGTGCTTGCTTGCACAGCATCGCTGAGGCCCTGAGCTTGATTCTCCAGCATCACCAAAACCACGTTTTCTTAATGAAGGAAGCCAAAGAGGTGGCTGAGTTGGTAAAGGGCCGTGCAAGCATGAGGACCGGAGTTCAGACCCTGGGGACCCACACGAGATCCAGGAGCATGTCTATGCTGGACCCTGAAGAGGGTTGGCACAGGCGGATCCTGGAAGCTTATTGACCAGGCAGCCCCACCAAATCAGAGAGCTCTTAGTTCAGCTTTAAGCTCATGTTAAAATAAGGTGGAAAGCAGCTGAAAAGACAGTGCATGCGGAGCCCCACCCCACCACGTGCCTGGGTGTGCGCGAGCTCACAGGTCAACACACGTGCGCATACACACATAACATTTCTCTCTCTCTCTCTCACTCACACACACATGAACACATACAGACATATACATCAAAATGCATACAGAAATTTACATGAGGCTGGTGTGATGGTGAACACTTGCAATTCCATCCCCGAGGAGGCAGAGTCCGAAAGATCACTGAGTCTGAAGCCAGCCTATTTCACAAAGTGAGTTTCCGGAACTCTGGGTTATACAACATTACCAAAGCTAAAACAATGTAAAAATTTAAGAGGGGGCTAGAGAAATGGCACAGAGATGGTTAAGAGCACTGGCTGCTCTTCCAGAGGTCCTGAGTTCAATTCCCAGAAACCACATGGTGGCTCGCAAGTGTCTATACTGAGATCTGGAGCCCTTCTCTGCCATGCAGGCATACATGCAGGCAGAACACTATACATAATAAATATTTTTTAATTGAAGAGGTTAGTTTTTGTTGTTTTTTTTTCCCAAAGAAAAGGTGTGCCTAACAGGTGTAGTGGTGCACACCTTTAATCCATGCATGCTCGAGGCAGTAGATCTCTGTGAGGTCCAGGTCAGCCTAGGCTACACAGTGAGGACCTGTGTCAACACAAACAAATAGCAAAGCACAAAGGGTTTAAGTTGCTGGTCCCTAAAGGAGCTTCCTCGTGGAGGCTCTGCAAGTATCCACTAACTCAGGATATACTGTTCAGGGTCAAGTAACGGCTTCATTCTCTACATTTAGCCTCTTGCCCAAGTGTTAGGAAATAGCATGGAGAAAACAAGAAAATATTCACTCTCGCCACACAGACTGCTTTTGTCCCCTAGATCTGTGATTTCCTGAGTCCCTTGTCCTGAGTGAGCATGCTTGGCCCCTACAGTGACTCCCTGCCTGGGGCCACTCCCCTCCCTCCCCCTCTCCAACCTGCCTGTTTTCTGTCCCTCTGTCTCTGTGTGTCTCTCTTCTCTCCCTCTCTCTATCTGTCTCTGTCTCTCTCTGCCTCTCTCTCTCCCTCTCTCTCTGTGTGATGAATGCTGGAAAAATAGGAAGGAATGGCACCAGGAGAAAAACATTTAAAAATCATATCTTAGGAGGAAGGTGGAATCAAGCACATTACTGAGGTATCATGTGTACATAGATCTTTACCCCTGGTGGAAATAAGGGCTGCTATCACCCATTGGACCTGGGAAGTTCAGAAAGGTGGCTGAGGACGTTTGGGCCCCAGTTCTTGTGGACTGGGGAACTCCAAAGCCAGTCTGGTGTCAGCACTTTGTTTGGGATATGCCCTCCTCCTTGGTCTCTGGGACTGGAAGGCTTCCCCTGGTCCTTCCCAAGTCCCCCAGTGTCCTGTGGGCTGGGAAACCTCTTCAGTCCCACAGCTGCTTGCTGTCTGGCCCTGAACCTGACTATGGATCTGTCAAGTACTATCTTAGTCTGACCCTCAGGCTTCCTTGCCCATACTACCCACAGCCTGGTTCCATATGGGTGGAGGGAATCCTTCAGGGCATCAACCCTGTGCTTTGTCCTTTGCTAGGAACTTCCCTGCAGCACTGTGGCCCCAGGCCGAGGCCGAGGCCTGAAGGACTAGCTCACATTAGCAGGGAATGCAGATAGTGGCATCATCCAAGTGAGGGCAAAGCATTAATGGGGACAGCATACCCGTCTCTGACGAAGTGTGTGAATACTGTGTGAAGACCCCGTTTGACTAACGAGGATGTGGTCCACAAATGAAACTTCTACCTTGGTCTCTTCCCTCACACAATTAGTACACAGTTCATGCACTGAATATGCTGAAGTTATTGCACCTCTCTAGGAAGTTCTCACTAATGAGAGAATTTTCTTCCATCCGTTCTAGGGAGAGTATGGTAGAAATAGTTAGTTGTATCATTTGTTTCCCATAACCACCTTGTAGCTGTGGCCCCAGGGTTGTGCTCACATCCCTACTTGCTCCCTAGATCCTCCCCAAATGCACCCATGACTGGTCACCTCTTCTGCAGTCTAGGTCTGTCCTAATGTGTGGAGAAACAGGCTGCTGACTGACTGTGATTTTGTTTTTAGACACTCCTGGAAGGTCTGCTGCTAGGGAGTATGTCAGTGTAAGTCTTTGATCCATGTTTCCATCTTATTGTGTGTGCTTTTCTCTGAATGTGTCTGAACAGTAACCACAGTCTCTGGTTCCAGCTTCTTTAAAGCAGAAGAGATACTATGGGCAGCAGGAGCAACCACTGTGGTGACATTATCGCTCACTTTATTTGCTCTACAAACAAAAGTACGTATTATTGAAACAGCTCTTTATCATAAGGGGCTTGCTGGCTGTGCTCCTGTGTCCCTCCCAACCCATTGTCACCCACACCTGCCTCGCTGTCTCATGAGCCTCCACAGCATGGCCTTCTTGCCTTGTCAATGATTGGCCCAGGGAGCAGCAGCTGGAAATTGGAAGGTCAGAGAGGATCACTTAGTTCCCTGGCATCCTCCCTACGAGTCCCTCTTGGACTAGCCACATTCCTCACCAAAATTCACTCACAGCTTGTCTTAACATGGCCAGCTTAACACATCCCAGCCCCCAGGATTCCTGTGTCCTTGTCCCTTGGGGCCTACAGGCTGTCGCAACTGCTCACCCAGTTCCTTTCAGCCTACTTCTGGAGATGGATCCTTTACACACACACCAACAACGCTCCTTAAGCTATGCTATTGAGTGTGTCCTTTGATCCCTGCTGGGACCCTGATTCAAAATGGCAGTTTCAAATTCAAAGATTTTCACACTTACAAGGATTCAGAAGCCACTAGGAGCCCCGATATAATTTACTAAGTGCTAGGGATCGCTGAGGGCCTTGTGAATGCCAAGCAAGCACTCTACCACAGAGCCACACCCTAACCAATGGTCATTTCTTTTTAACAATGATGTCAGAGTCTCTCTAGCCCTAAGATGTTGGGGACTCAGTGGCCTCTTTTCAGTGTTCTTATCTGTCATTTATGGACACCCGACTTTAGTAAATGGCACACATGATGACCCGAGTTTGATCCCTAGCATCCATGTAAAATCTTGGTGTGGTGGCATGGGGTTGTAATCTCAGCTCAGGGAGAGTGATCTCCCTGGAGTCTCCAGCCAGTCACCCTAGCTGAATTTCTGAGCTCCAGGTCCTAGTGGAGATCTCTTTCAAACTGTAAGGAATAATGCCTGAAGTGGAGCTTCATTTTAATTTAGAATCAGATCAGGGTTTGCCATCACAAGGATGGTCCTAGTAGAAGCCAGCCTATGTATAAACAGGCAATGCCTTCCTACAGTTGAGTGAGGTGGGCTACTGACGTAGGTATAGGTTCACGGAGCCACTTATAACCTCCTAAATGTCAGATTATTTTCCCCAAGGCCCCAAAGGTATTTAATCATTCACAGGTAAAGAATGACCTGTGAATGACCGGGAATGAAATATTCTGAAGACAATTCTAAGTATGTTTTCATGAATGACTCCAAAAGACAGCCAAACTCATGTTCAACTAAACTTTTTCTTTTTTTTTTTTTTTCTGATAAAATTATGTCTACAAGACTCCCAAGGACTCGAGAAGAAATAGTGTCATGCACTGAGCTTGAATTTTCTAATGAACCTGCCTTCTTGGTTTAAGTATAATCAGACCCCACTCTCAGATCAGCTCCTTTGGGCTGAGTGGCAGTTTCATGGAGAATGAAGATGCTTACCCTCTCCTCTTGGCTTCTGCTTGCCTTTTAATTTAAGGTGGAGGCTAGGAGTTTGGGAGAAGTGTGCGTGTTGGTGATAGCTGAAGAGGGCCTGGTAGCAGAGATGTAATTAGCCATTTCTGATCTTGAGTCTCCTGCTGTCTGTGCTTGCTGAGTGGGTCATGTTGGGTCCTGAAGCTGGAAGTCCAGTCTAGATGTGACTCAGATGCTGAGTTTGGCCAGAACTGACAGAGGTCCTTCCTGAATCTGAAGTGGGCTAAAGGGGATACAGGTCTAAGACGAGCACATGGAAAACTATTCTTGTGCGTGTTGAGGACAGAGGAAAAATGCAAGAAAATATCTTGGGTGCTTTCAGTATTTGAAAAATTTTCAGCCTCTTTAATAAAAACAAAACCCAAAAATACATGGGTCATCTCTAAAAGCAAAGCTAAGGTTCACATTAATAACTGTCAAAATTATAAAACAGTCATTAACAGTCATTTTCAAAACTGTGTTTTATGAAAATGTGTGTATACAAATTTGAAAAAGAGACCCAGTTAATGTAATGAAATAACCCATTTCATTTTCTTAATGTTTTTCATGTTTATGTGTCCTTTAAATATGAATAGTTAAGATCACATTGTACATACAAATTTATACCCTACTCAATTTATATTTTTGTTGGAGTTCAGCAGAGATTCTAGTATCCTAGGTTGGCTTTGAACTTGTCATGAGAATGACTTTAAACTTCTGATCCTCTTGCCTCCACCTTCCTAGTGCTGGGATTACAAGTGTGTGCCACCACATCTGGTTTTAAGGAAGACATTCTTATAAATAGAAAAGTAGAATAAATACAATGAAATTCTCATGTACCCTTCACCCAGTTTAAAAATGATCAACTCCTGGCTCTCATTATTTTATTTTAACTCCCACTATTTCCTCCTCCCCCCTGAAGCAAATCCCAGGGGCTGTGACAGTTTTATCATTTAGGTGACAATTTTTAGGGCTTGGGGCTAAGGCATTCATTCCCAGCCTAAGAGATGGCCAGGACAACTTGTGCATGGGGTAGAAAATGTACCTAAACACATCTGCAATCCTGTCTGGATGATAACAGAGTTACAAGTGCTATTTATGTTTCCGCAGTGGGATTTTACCTTGCTAAATGGAGTGTTGTTTGTTTTCCTGGCTGTGTTAACGATCTACGGGATTATCGCAGTCATCATACAATCATATGTAAGTGACCTTGAAGAGAACTCAAGATGAGGGAAGTGCTGGCTGTGTCAGCACAAGTCCTCTGAGAAGCAGACATGGTATTGGGGCTAGGTATGCAAAGACTTATTATTATACTTTTATTAATATCTGTGGTGATGGGGGTTGAGGTCAAGGCAGGCCTTGAGCACGTTAGGCAAGCACTCCGCCTCTGAACTACATCTCCAGCTTTTAGAAAAAATGAGATCAAAGACATGCTGCAGTGTTTGCACAGGCCAGCAGCTGAGCAAGGTATATTACACTTCTGTCCTGTTATCTGAATGTGAATCTGGGTCCACTTTAGTTTCACACACAGGACTCGGTAGAGAAGTACTGTAGATAGGAATCTAGTGTATGAATATTGATCCCCCACTTGAGATAGTACTTGTCCTTCCCCAACAGGGTCTTGGGGGGGACCCTGTCCTCTGTGGTAGACAATGCATTCTCCTGCACACAGATCACACAGGTACTACTGTTGAAGCAGATGTGGGAGAAAGGCTCTTGCAGCCAAAGGCCCCGGTGGTACCCACAGAAGGTGGCTTAGTGTCCACCCAGCGCTCTCTTTAACATAGAGTCATTGACTTCTTCCTGAGTGTCACACATAGAGCTGTAAATATTTTTCACTGAGCTTCTTCACATTCAACTCTGGCAACATTCCTTGTCGATTTTTTAGATGAGAAAATAGGCTCAGAGGACTTTAATCCATTCAGGGTCCCTAGAGATGGAGGAGCAGAGGTCACATGGAGGTCAGGTTTGTGTGACTTTTAGGCAGTGTCCATGTCTCCATGCTTTGTGCATGGTCTGCCTTTGGAGCAGAAAAGGAGAAAGCTCTATATGATATGCCCCATGATGACCCTGCCTGGGACCTGGAACTGTCTGACCAATGTTCCCAGGCCAACTTGTTCAAATGCTGAATCAAAGCATTTCTTTGGAAGCAAGTGAACTTTTTGCATACCTCTAGACCTGTGTCTAGAAGTTCTGCCTGGGCTTATTTGGATTGATGAATATGAATGTTTGTTATCACCAGGGAGGTGGTATCTATCTTTTGCAGACAAACTCTGACATCACAAACATGTACTTCGAGTTTTTTATTTTTATTGCTTTTCTTACTTTTTTGTTTTTTTGAGACATTCACACTGTGTAACCCTGGCTGGCATGTAACTCAAGACCAGGTTGGCCTTGAACTTGTGGAGATGACCCTTTTTCTGCCTGCTAAGTGCTAGGACTGCAAGTGTTCTCCACCCCACCTGGCACAAAGGTGTGTATTAAAACTGCAGCTCTGCAGTCACTCAGTGAGTTCCATAGGTCTTTACAGTTTCCTAACACATGGAGTCTATGTCTCCTCCAAGATAGACAGAGCTCACCCCCACTCTCAAAAGCATCTCCAACCTACATTCTTCCACACATGTCAGCATAAGGTTCTTGTCCTAAGTCCATGCATTTGACATAGGCAGCTCTGATTCCCCTGGATTCCAGGTGACCCACAAGCTCCCGTGTTGGCACTCTGAAGCTAATGTGTTCCCCCAGATTGTGCTATAATTCACTGTCTCCCCTCGTTACCAAGAACTTCTTATGGGGAGTCCTACCAAATCTCCTCAGGACCAGCGTTCTCCTTAAGAGTTCATGCTATATTTTTCTCCGGTGTTGTGTATTACTTTATCCTCTTCCCATGTAAGCCAAAGCCTGGGTGTTCAGCTATGTCTCATATTATCTGATCAGGGAAAATACCAGTCAGATTGGCTTAGGCAAAATTCCTGGGAATTTCATGGGTCTGAAAAAGATCTAAGTCTCTAGCACCAGCAATCCCACCTTCATGTATGGGTCTGGGGCAACTAGCCACCTCTATTTAGCCTATAAAGGTCAAGAATTGCCTGTTGACAGATTGACATGTCTGTGCCTAATGGCAGGTCCCTGCAGAGCTCATCTAAAAAATAGATGAGATCCACTGCTTGTAGTGGTTTCTGCTCTCTTTCCTTATGCTCTCCACCTAGCGAGAGTGTGATCATTATGTTTCCAGATCCACTCAGGTCACAGCCTGAGGGAAGGCACATTGTCTAGAAGGGTTATGTAGATGGGAGGGAAAGTGGACCTTGCCTAATGCATTGTCCTTTCCCCCACCCCCACCCCCCACCCCCCCACCCCCCCACCCCCCCCCCATGGAATTTGAAGTACTCACTTGGTGATCTGAAAGATCAGCGTGCACTTTGAGTGCTTACTGGAATAGAGTGGTGGATGCTGGTGATTACTAAAAAAGAGGCTAACTCCCCCCCTACCCCACCCTCCCACCCCCGGGCTTGACTGTCCTCATAATGGGTCCTTATCTGAGGGCGGTGACTCATGGGAAGCACTTCCTAAACTCTTGGGATCTTGTTGAGCTATGATGCTTTCTTTCTGTGCAGTGGGTACATATGGTGTATGCAGCGCTTGGAACACTGGTCTTCTCCTTGGTAAGTCTTGTTTTCCCTCTGTGCCGAAGACCATGATGTACATGCTCACAGGCCTTGTGCTGGCCAGTGGAGTCAGCCATTCACTAGAAACACTCCAATAACTCACTGAGCAGAGCTGGGAGGCCTTTCTTTTCTTTTTTAATTAATCTTTTTTATTATTTACTTTTTAAAAATGAAAAACAATCTTATTTTCCATACCAATCCCGGTTTCCTCTCCCTCCTGTCCTCCCATTCCCCCTACCATCTCCACATTTCACCCCTCATCCCCTCCTCAGAGAGAGTGAGGCCACTGAGAGACCTTTCTAATCCATGAAAGCATCACATTCCCTGGCTGGGGCTGTACCTCAAGGGCAGACTGCTTTCCTAGCACAGGACCCTGAGTGTGCAACGTAGACAGAGTTTACATTCCCAAATAACTATTCAGAGACTTACTATTTTAAATGCTCGGCCAATAGCTCAGGCTTGTCACTAACTAACTCTTACAACTAAATTAACCCATTTCTATTACTCTACATCCTGCCATATGGTGTTACCCTCTTTCATCTTGTACCCCAGTCTCTTCTCCGCGTCTTGCTGGTGACTCCTCTGACTTCCTGCTCTTCTTCTTCCCAGTGTCTTTAGCCTGGTTTCCCTACCTAATCTTTTCCTGTCCAACTTTCGGTCAGTCAGTTTCTTTATTGAAACAATCACAGTGTAATTTCCACAGCAGTGTAATAACAAAAACAGGAAAATATCACCTTCCTTCAAAAAGTTAGTATTTGACAAGAGAAAGGATTGTGTAGAAGCCTCAATGCCTACTGTCACAAGGAGTGGCTTCATTTGCTCTGACCAGCCTCTCATTTCTCTCTACCAGGAGCTCTGGAGAAAGCTGGCAGAGGCCGCTGCTGATGCCTCTGGGAATCCATTTCTTTCTGTTTAGTCCCATCTTTTGCAGTCCCAGTTTTACAGTGATTAAGATTTTAAAAGTAATACATGTGGATATTTTAAAATTCAAACAACCCAGTGGAATGCAAAAGGAAGAGCAAAACTCGCCCTTCTCCCATTGCTCAGAGGTTAACCCTGAGAGCAGATTCTAAGAGCCCTGCTGGGGTGCCTTTACACATCCCAGCATGACCCCCTACACTGGGGCAGTCACACTGTGTCAAATATTTTGCCTTAGCCTTTTACTTGACAATAATAGTCTCTAAGTATTAGTAGAGCTATGCCAAATACATTCTTAATTAGGCCTATGTTTTTCCTTATTATGCTCTTATCAATACTTCTTATAGCATTAAAAAAAATGGTGTGTGTGGCACTGTGTATGAAACTCAAAACCTCTCATATGTCTGTCGAGGCTTCCCCTACTGACATAGACTTGTCAGGGTTTCAAATTTCCTTATTGGATTTCTTATAGAAAAAAAAAAAGTGTGTGTGTGTGTGTGTGTGTGTTGGAATGCATGTGTGGAGCTTGAGAAGGACATGAGGTGTCCTGCACTATTACTCCCTGCCACCTTCCTTTGAGACAGGTTCTCTCTCTCACTGAACTTGGACCTAGGCCTGTGGCCAGAGCCCCCAGTAATTCTCCTCTCTCTGCCCTCAACAGCTCTGGGGTTATAGGCCTATGTGCGGCTGTGAGTTGTTTTTGTTTTTTTTAAACACGGACAGTGAGGATTTGATTCTATGTTCTCATGCTTTGGCTTCTCAGCCTTTGAGGAAGAAAATGCAAAGACATGTCTTACTGCGTAGCATTGGCTAGCATGAAACTTGATATGCAGACCAGGTCGACCTCAAGCTCAGCATCTCCCTTCTCCCCTTCTCTGCCTGAGCGCTGCAAGTAGCAAGTATCTTGCCTCGTGGGCAAGAAAAAAATTATTATAAAAACTTTGTGAACATATTGAGAAATTGAAAGACTAATTTCCATGTAGTATCATGAAGCTTTTTTTTTTTTTTTTTTTTTTTTTTTTGAGTGAGCTGTTTTTGGTTTTTTTGAGACAGGATTTCTCTGTAGGTTTGCAGCCCATCCTGAAACTCACTTTGTAGATCAGGCTGACCTTGGACTCACAGAGATTTGCCGGCCTCTGCCTCTAGAGTGCCGGGATTACCGGCATCACCACTGCCTAACCGCAGAAAGAAAGTGTCCTTTCTTACATTCTGCAGCTTCCCTTCCCTCCTCTCCTCCCAGTTCCTCTCACCACCCCCATCCCCACGCACTTTTCTTCCTTTCTCTTCAGAAAGGGTCAGGCACCCACCCCACCCCATGGATCTCTCGACCAGCCACGGTAGATCAAGTTGCAGTGACACCAGTCCCCTATCGAGGCTGGATGAGGCTAGCCAGTAGGAGTAAAGGGTCCCAAGAGCAGGTAACACAGTTAGAGACAGCCCCTGCTTCCGCTGTTAGGACTCTCAAAAGAAGGCTAACCTACACAACTTTACAATATGCAGTGCCTATGTCAGTCCCACACAGGCTGCCTGGTTGGCAGTTCAGTCTCTGTGAGCCCCTATGAGCCCAGGTTAGTGTATTCGGTGAGTTTTCTTGTGGTGTCCTTGACCCCGCTGGCTCCCACAGTCTACCTTCCTCTTCTGCAGGGTTCCCTGGGCTCGGCCTAATGTTTGGCTCTGATTCTGCATCTGTTTCCATCAGTTGCTGGGTGAAGTCTCTCTGATGACAATTGGGCTAGGCGCATATCTATGAGAATAGCAGAATATCATTAAGAATCTTTTTTTTTTTTTTTGTTTGTTTGTTTTGGTTTTATCCTAGGTCTCTGGGCTACCCAGCCTCTGGATCCTGGCCCTCCAGGCAGTGTCAGGGGTGGGTTCCCTCTCATGGTGTGGGTCTCAAGCTGGACCAGTCATTAGTTGATCACTGGCACAATTTGTGTGACCTTGACCCCAGCACATCTTGTAGGCAGGACAAATTGTAGGTCGATGGTTTTGTGGCTGGGTTAGGGTCCCATTCCCTCCACTGGAGGTCTTGCCTCGTTACAGGAGACGGCCAGATCATGCTCCATATCCCTCATTGCTAGGAGTCTTAGCTAGGGTCACCCTCACAGATTCCTGGAAGTTTCCATTGCTCTCAGTTTCTAGCTCATCCCCTCCCCCTGCAGCCAATTTCAGTTGCCTCCCCCAGTATTCTCTCCCTCCATCCTCCCCCTACTGATCCCTTCTGTTCCCATCCCCACCCCACCCCACCCCAACCAAACCCTTCTCTCCTCCCCCATCCACCTGGGCTGTCTATTCTATTGTGGTTGTTGTTTTAATTTTATGTGCATGTGTTTTGTCTGTTTGTACATCCTGTGCATGTGTGCTGTGAGAAGAGCCCATCAGATCCCTTTGCAGTGAGACTCATATGTCGCCCCCTTGAGCCCTCTTTACTTAGCTTCTCTGGTTTTGCTTTACATCTGGTAGCCACTTAAGAGTGAGTACATACCATGCTTGTCTTTCTGTGTCTGTTACCCTCACTCAGGATGATATTTTCCAGGTCCATCCATTTGCCAGGAAATTTCATGATGCTGTTATTTTAAAGAGCGGAGTAACACTCCATGTGTCAATGTACCATGCGACACCCGGGTTGTTTCCAGTTGCTGGCCATTACAAATCAAGCCGCTATGAACACAGTTGAGCAAGTGTCCTTGTGGTACGGTGGAGCATCCATTGGTTATATGACCAGGAGTGGGTTATGAGGAAGACTGATTCCTGATGTACTGAGAAACTGCCACATTGATTTCCAAAGTGGCTGTACAAGTTTGCACTCCCACCAGCAATGGAGGAGTGTCCCCTTACTTCAGTCCTCTCCAGCATGAGCCGTCACTTGTGTTTTTGATCTTAGCCATTCTGATAGGTGTAAGATGGAATCTCAGAGTAGTTTTGATTTGCATTTCCCTGATGGCTAAGGATGCTGAACATTTTTTTAAAGTTATTCTTGGCCATTTGAGTTTCCTCTGTTGAGAATTCTCTGTTTATATTTGTACTCCCTTTTTAAATTGGATTATTTGTTTTTGTGATTTCTAATTTTTTGAGCTCTTTATATATTTCGGATATTAGATATCTATCCAATGTGGCGTTGATACAAATCTTTCCCCATTCTGTAGGCTGTCATTTTGTCCTTTTGATGGTGTCGTTTTGCCTTACAGAAGCTTTTCATTTCCACAAGGTCCCATTTATTAGTCGTTGATCATTAGCACCTTTGCATTGGTGTTCTGTTCAGGAAAGTGTCTCCTGGGCCGATGTGTTTGAGATTATTTCCCACTTTCTCTTTTACCAGATTCAGTGAATCTTGTTTTATGTTGAGGTCTTTGGTCCACTTGGGTGTGCTTACTTCCTTTGTTTTAGAGCTTTCAGGTGTGCTGTTAAGTAGCTAGTGTGAGAGAGTGAGATCTCTGTGTGTGTGTGTTTTTTTTTTTTTAATGAAGGCACTTACTGCTGGGAACTTCCTCTTAGCACCGCTGGCACTGTGTCCCATAAGTTTGAGTCTGTTGTGCATTCATTTTCACTGAATTCTAGAAACTCTTTAATTTCTTTATTTCTTCCTTGACCTAGTGGTGATTTAGTAGAGAGTTTTTCAGTTTCCATGTGTTTGTAGTCTTTCTGTTGTTAAAATCTAGCCTTTTTTTTAAAAAATAAATTTTTATTTAAATTAAAAACAATTTTATTTTACCAATCCCAGTTTCCTCTGCCTCCTCTCCTTCCATGCCCCCCTCCCACCCCTCATCACATCCCACATCCACTGCCCAGGGAGGGTGAGACTTCCCATGAGGGACCATCACAGTCTGACTCATCATTTGGGGAAGGGCATAGGCCCTCCCCCATGTATCTAGGCTGAGAGAGAATCCCTCGATAGGGAATGGACTCCCAAAGTCCATTTGTGCACTAGGGATAAATACTGGTTCCACTGTCAGAGGCCCCATAGGCTGCCCAGACCTCCTAACTGACACCTGCCTTCAGGGGGCCTGGTTTGGTCCTGTGCTGGTTCCCCAGCTGTCAGACTGGGGTCTGTGAACTTTCACTTGTTTAAGTCAGCTGTTTCTGTGGGTTTCCCCAGCATGGTCTTGACCCTTTTGCTCATCACTCCTCCCTCTCTGTAACTGGATTCCAGGAGTTCGGGTAGTGTTTAGCTGTGGGTGTCTGCTTCTGCTTCTATCAGCTACTAAATGAAGGCTCTAGGATGGCATATAAGGTAGTCGTCAATCTCATTATCAGGGAAGGGCATTTAAGGCAGCCTCTCCACTATTGCTTATATTGTTGGTTGGGGTCATCCTTGTAGATCTCTGGACAGTTCCTTAGTGCCAGATATCTCCTTAAATCTATAATGGCTCCCTCTATTGTGGTATCTCTTTTCTTGCTCTCCTCTAGTCTTCTCCCAATTCCATCTTCCTGATCCCTTATGTTCTTCTCTCCTCTCCTCTATTCCTCTTTCTCCTACCTTCCTCCCCAACTCCCCCCATGCTCCCAATTTGTTCAGGGTTATCTTGTCCCTTTCCCCTTCTCGGGGGAACATGTATGTCTCTCTTAGGGTCCTCCTTGTTTCCAAGATTCTCTGTGGTTGTGGATTGTAGGCTCAGCCATTAAAGGCTAGGCTCATCAACCAAAAATATAAAATCTAGCTTTAATCTATGATGGTCTGATAGGATATAGGGGTTATTTCAGTTTTTTGTATCTGTTGAGACTTACTTTGTAACTGAGTATGTGAGAAGGTTCCATGAGGTGCTGAGAGGTGTATTTTTCTGGTTTAGGAGAAATGTTCTGTACATATCTGTTAGGTCCATTTGAGTCACAATGCCTGTTAATTCCATTATTTCTCTGTTTAGTTTCTGTCTGGACAAACTGTCCATTTGTGAGAAGGGTGTTAAAGTCTCCCACTATTAATGGGGGTTGATATGTGGTTTAAGCTTTAGTATTTTTTTTAACGAATGTGGTTGTCCTTGCACTTGGGGCATAAATGTTCAGAATAGAGACACCATCTCTTTTGATTCATTTTGGTTGTAAGTCTATTCTGTTAGATATTAGAATAGTTATATCAGCTTGCTTCTTGGATCCATTTGCTTGGAACCAATCCTTTACCCTGAGGTAATGTCTATCTGTGATGTTGAGGTGTTTCTTGTATGCAGCAGAAGGATGGATCCTGTTTTTTAATCCATTATGTTAGCCCATGTCTTTTTATTGGGGAATTGAGTCAATTTATATTGAGAGATGTTAATGCCAATGGTTGTGAATTCCTGTTATTTTGGTGGTGGTGGTAGTACTTCTTTCTGTGTGTGTGTGTGTGTTTGTGTGTGCGTGCGCACGTGCATGAGTACTTGTGTGCATGTACACATTCATGTGCTTACTCTTCCCTTCCTTTGGTTTTGTTGGTATGAAATTATTTACTTCCTGTGTTTTCTTGAGCATAGTTAACTTCCTTGGGTTGGAGTTTTCATTCTAGTATTTTCTGTAGGGCTAAATTTATGGATAGATATTGTTTAAATTGCTTTTGTCATGGAATATCTTGTTTTCTCCATCTATGATGATTTGATAGTTTTGCTGGGTATAGTAGTCTGGGATGGCATCTGTGGTCTCCTAGAGTCTGAAACATATCCGTCCAGGCCCTTCTGGCTTTTAGACTTTCTATGTTGAGAAGTCAGGTGTAATTCTAATAGGTCTGCCTTTACTTGGTCTTTACCCCTTGCAACTTTTAATAGTCTTTCTTTGTTCTGTACATTTAGTGTTTTGCTTATTATGTCAGGGGTAGGGGACTTTTCTATTTGGTGTTCTGTAAGGTTCTTGTATATTTACCAGCATCTCTTTCAATGGCCTCTGCATCAGCTCCTGCCTCCAGGATCTTGTCTTGTTTGAGTTCCTGTCCTGACTTCCTTCAATAATGAGCAACAATATGGGAAGTGTAAGCCAAATAAACTCTTCTCCCCAACTTGCTTTTTGGTCATGGTGTTTCATTGCAGCATTAGACACCCTAACTAAGACATATGTATCTTCTACACCTGAGATTCTCTCTTCTGCTCTTGTACTCTGTTGTTGATGCTTGCATCTTTAGTTCCTGTTCACTTACCTAGATTTTTCATCTCTAGGAGTTCATCAGTTTGTGTTTTCTTTATTGCTTCTATTTCCATTTTCAGGTCTTGAACTGTTTTATTCATTTCCATTCATGTGTTTATTTGTATTTTCCTGGATTTCTTTAAGGGATTTATTCATGTCCTCTTTAAGGGCCTTTATCTCCTTCAAAAGGTTGGATTTAAGGTTATTTTCTTGCTTCTGCCATGTTAGACTATCTATGGCTTACTGTAGTAGGATAGCTGGGTGCCATATTGCCCTGTCTGTTGTTGATTAGGTTCTTATGCTGACCTCTAGTCATCTGGATTTGGGGTAACTATAGGTTTAGGTACTGATTTCTGAGTTTATCGTTGTTAGATGTTTTTACCTTTCCGTTAGTTTCTGTTTCCTCTTTGGTCTTCTGGACTGAGTGTACCGGGTCTCTTGTGACCAGTGACTCTTCAGGTCCAGAAGTGTGTCTCCACTGAGGTTTTTGTGACCCATGTGGATTCTGGTGTTTTGGGTGCCAAAGTTGCCTCTAGAGTTCCAAGTACCTGTGTGGCCTCTGGAGTTCTGGGTACTTGCTTGGACTCTGGGGTTCCTAGTATGGTGTGGCCTCTGATAAAGCAGAAATCTTTTGATGGTATTGTGGGCCAGAATACAGAGCCCAGGGTAAGGGATGCAGTTGGGGGCTGTTGGATTGGCTTTAAGGAGTGTTAGCAGATGGCAGGCAGTGCCTTACCCGGGCACTTTAGGACCAGCATTGTCTCCAGTGAAGCAGACAGCTTCTGCTGGAGTTGTCCTTTCTGTTTTTTTTTTTTTTTTTTTTTTTTTTTTTTTTTTTTTTTGTGCCATTGGTTTTTAAAAGTCATGAAAAAGCAATGCATTAGATTAATGTGTGTATTTCGTTATTCACGAACTGATTTGTGCCTGTCTTCCCTTTCTCCTGTGAGCTCAGCCTGTATAGGTCTGCCTCAGGTCTGTTTTAGGCACAGTTCATTTCCCACAAAAGTAGGGGAGGACACTGTGTGTGTGTGTGTGGGGGGTCTATGAACATCTGTGTGCACTTGTCTGTGATTTGGTGTGACCACACTTCCAAATGCTCTTGTGTGTTAGAATCCTGGCTAGGGGTTGGCTGTGTCTTAGATGGTACCCTGAGCCTTTGTCCCCTTGGAGGGGACAAAGTACAACTGGATCCTTGTTCATCTTCCTCTTCCATTTTCCTACCTGCTCTTGGAACTTTTCTAATCACCTGGTCATGTTGTGAAATGGTTGAGTCATTATCTCTCTTATGAGGAATACTAAGATTAATTTAGGGATCTTTTGGAGGAAAAGAAATGTCCTTGTTCCTTAGTCAGGGCTCTGGAGTGATAGAAGGATGCTCAGATACTGAGGCCTTTTGTGTAAGCAAATGTTCTAGTTTGCTTGGGGCAGAGTTCTGTTTTCCTTTCATGGATGCTGGAATGAGACTTGGAGGAGGGACTCAGCAAGCCAGGTGAGGCATCCCCAGCTCATGTTGGACTCCCTTCCCTGTAGGTTAGGTTCAGTGCTGCCTATTCCACCTATGAGGGATCACCTGCTGTGCATCTGTGCAATGTTCCACCGTAACCTCCATCTTGTTCTTCCTTCTGTTCTGACCTGTTTGAAGCCTGCCTGGGAACAACCAAGGTGTCTGGATTTCTTGGGGACAGGATTCACAAAGTGAATACCATTCTAAAATATGTCATTTTAAAAAAAGTTTCAAACATTCCAATATTTATATGTCATGCCAGTGTTGGTGTGTTCATGGCATTGGACTCTGAGTTTAGTCTGCATCCAGGAGGTTCATCCAGTTCTTTCCTTCCTGTCGTGCTCCTCCTAGATCTTCACTTTGCACCAGGCTTGAGGTTGACGGAGGGCACTGACTTTTTTTCATGCCAATGTTCAGGACTCCATAGTTCTACTTATTGCAGCTGAGCTGACATGTGCAGTCAGTCACATGGGAGTATCTCCTTCCCCACTTTCTGTTCCAGGCATACAGATACTGCCCCAAATGGCAAAGTTTGCTATCATCCAATACAGTCCTTGGGGTGGGGTTAAAAAAAAAACACAGTCCTTACTCTGAGTCTGGGAAGCATCTTTGGTTTGGTCTAGCAAGGTGTGGGGAAGTCCACAGATACAGGTTACCTTGTAGTGATGTGTCCACCTTGTCCATCTGGTCACATCATTGACAAAAAGCCCCAAAGGAAATATACATATGTGGTACTGTGGACTTCAGGAGATGAGGTATTTGTTGTCAAGAGTGCAAACTAGGGTGACTTCATCAATGGCTAAAGCTCTAATGGTGTATTCAGTCACACTCACTTGCAACATCTTCCTACTTCTTCATTTCTCCTCCCTTCTTCACTCCCTCCCCTATTTTTTGGTATAGGGTTTCATGTAGCCCAGGCTAGCCTCAAACTTGTGTAGTTGATGATGACCTTGAACTTCTGACACTCCTGTCTCTACCTCCAGAGTGCTGGAATTGCAGGCATGCACTACCAAGTCAAGTTTGTGTGGTATGGGGGTCAGAATCCCGGGCTTTATGCATGCCGTACAAGTATGCTACCAACTCCGCTATACCCCCAGCCTCTACATTTTCCTTGAAAAAATTACATTCCCCACACGATTCAGGACACTTGCTTGGCAGATACACACAATCTAAACAGACGATTCTTCCTTGTCTTCAAGTATCTGGTGATGGACGTGCAGATGATGATTGGGGGGCACTACCATTATGAGGTAGACCCTGAAGAGTACATCTTTGCCGCTCTGAACATCTATGTGGACATCCTCAACATCTTCGTGTTCATCTTGAACCTGACTGTACGATAGCCAATGGCCAAGGCTGGCTCATGCCGAGAAGAGGAGAGGCGGGGTGCCTGTCTGGGAGTGTCCAGGCCCAGACACACAACAGTGACCACTCATAGGCCCTTTGCATAGTTACTTACTTAGTATTTATTTGTTTATTTATTTATGTCAAAAGAAGTAAATAATTCAGTAGATGGTAGCTGTTGCTGCTATTTTTTATTTCCCTTGCTGTATGGCAAACTTTTTCATTCATATGGGTACCTATAAATTCAGAAAAATGAGTATCCTAATCATAGGCCCCCACTGTTTTGTTGAAGTTTTCTAGGTGCAATTTAAAGCTGTAAATACTTCAATTAAATAAAGCTAATTGTAGGAAACCCAAATACTTCCTTTCTCTTCATTTGGGTATTCTATGGCGATATTTTAGCATGTGATTTTTTTTTCTTTAACAGTAGGACAAACCAAAATATTCTGCCTTTTACCCCACTTTCCACAGCCAGACTGGAGAGAATTCCATGAGGTAGGGAGCTGAGAGGCTCAGGGCAGAGTGGTGGCTACATGCCACCTCTTCTGAGTATTTGGGCCAATTGGCCTCATAATGTCTTAAAACGTCTTTTTAAATTGTCATAAAATATATAGCAGTGTTTGTGTACAGTTAGGTAGTATGAATATATTTTTATGAAACCAATCTCTGCAATGTTTCCAGCTTGAAAACTGAGGTTCTATATCCACTGTAATACTCAGGGTTCTCTAGGAACAGAAGTTATAGGATGAATCCATCCATCTGTCTGCCCACCCGGCTCACCCACCCACCCATCCATCCATTCATCCAACCATCTATCCATCCATCCATGGGGTGGGCTTTGAGGTCTCTTTTGCTCAAGCTTCCCTCAGTGTGACTATCAGTTTACTTCCTGTTACCTATAAGATGTAGCACTCTCAGCTTCAGCACCACATCTACTTGCGCACTGCCATGCTCCCCGTCATGATGATAATGGATTAAACCTCTGAAACTGTGAGTCACCCCAATTAAATGTTTTCTTTATAAGAGTTGCCATGGTCATGGTATCTCTTCACAGCAATAATAATTCTAATTAAGATACTATCTATATATTTATCTATCTGGAAAACTTACAGACTGTGGTCCAGCAAGTCTAATAATGGCTGTCTCCCAAGAGAAAGTCAAAGAACCTAGTGGTAGTTCATTCCACAAGGCTTGATGTCTCAGGTGGTCTTCAGTATATGCCAGGATCCCAAAGAAGTAGGCTCTGGTGTCAGCAAGGGGAGGACTTGCCCGTGAAAGCGAGCAGGTAAAGAGTGCCTGCTCCTTTACATAGGCTGTCAGCAGAAGGAATGGCCTAGATTGGCCTAATTAAAGGTAGATCTTCCCACCTCAAAAGATCTGGATTAAAAGTGGGTCTCCCTGAGGGAGGGCCTAGGCCCTACCCCAAATGACTTCACAGATTTTGATGATCCCTTCTAGAAGGCATCACCCTCCCTGTGGAGTGGTTGGGGAATGGGACATGGGATGGGGTGGCGTCAGGGGGCATGGGAGGGAGAGGGAACTGGGATCGATATGTAAAATAAGAAAAAAAGTAATAAAAAATAAATAAAAGTGGGTCTTCTTGGCTTCACCCTCCCTGGGGAGTAGTTGGGGGTGGGGTGGGATCAGTGGGGGTTATGGGAGGATGGGAGAGGGGACTGGGATTGATATGTAAAATAACATTGTTTCTAAATTAAATTTAAAAAAGTGGGTCTTTTCACTCCAAATGATTTAATTCAGAAAATAATCCCTTACAGGTGAGGCCAGCCATTTGGGTTTTAGTTAATTCCAGATGAAGTCAAGTTAACAACCGAGGAGAGAAATCACAAGCCCACCCCTTGTCAACTTGACACACAAATGTACCTCCTTATGTCATGCTTAATTTCCAAATGAAAACAATAATCAGGTTATAACTGTACCTAACGTGCTATAACTAACTCATGTATAACTGCAAATGCATTATATATTTAACCAGGTCAAAATTATGCCTAACATGATATAACTACAACCACAAACATAAAATTTAGAATAGGTGTTAATGTCCCTTGAGGGGAAAAAAATTCTTTTGGGATCTCAAAACTTAACCACTGCCATTCTCTTAATTGATGTTATATCGCATGATAAAGAAATTGAAGAAAGAAAACACAAATATCTACAAAAACACATTCTTAACAAAATACAACAGATACATTTATGCTAATTATAATCCTGTGTCTGCGACTGGTCATGTGACCTTAACCAATATTTCTAACTACCTTCCTTTACTACCCCTTCAGCGTTTTCTCCACCCTCAGCAATCACTTTAGCTGGCCTTGGCTCTTTTCCTGGAGGAGTGACCTTCATTCCTGAGGGTCTGTGCCCTTTGCCATCCTGCTTGTAGTTTCCCCTTAACTTTAATCACAGGACATGGTGGCACCAAGAGACACCCTAAAGGATAGGATCTGCACTCCACACAAAATCCTAAAGGATAGGATCTGCACTCCACACAAAATCCTAAAGGATAGGCTCTGCACTCCACACAAAATCCTAAAGGATAGGATCTGCAGTCCACACAAAATCCTAAAGGATAGGATCTGCAGTCCACACAAAATCCTAAAGGATATTACCTCTAAGTGTAGAGAAACAGTCTGATCTCCCCGTGTTAATCTGGATCATCCCTCCTAACCTTTATTCCTTCCTTTACCTGTTGGCTCAAGGGTATCTGAAATCCAGAGTTCCCAGGGGAATGTCTGAGTTTCCAGTTCAATAGAACATTTGTTGTCTCCTGGCAGGGAGCACCTCTTGCTCTGGAACCACAGTGTGTCGTCCAGGAGAACTTAAGTATCACAGGAACAAGAAGTAATTTTTTTTTTTTTTTTTTTTTGCAGTCACTAGGGGTAAGAGTGAGTGAACTATTCTCTTTTTCACTCCTTCATTCCTAGACCCGTGTGTGTGTGGGGCATACAATACATTGGACATTGATTCAAAGCCTTCTGGAAAACCCTGCCCTAGTCATTCATGCTGCTGCCATCTAATTGGTGCTGGAACTGTGTCTTCAAAAGGCCATTTTATCTACCTGGCCAGCTTCTTCAGAGAACATAGTAAGACCAGTGGATTCCATGATCGTGGGCCACTCTTGTACTATTCTGGCTGTGAAGTGAGGTCCTTGGTCAGAAGCAATACTGTGTGGAATACCACGATGGTGGATAAAGAATTCTGTAAGTCCACAGATGTTCATTTTGGCAGAAACTTGCCTGAAGGAAAGGCAAATCCACAACCAGAATAAGTATCTTCTTCAGTATGGAGAAAGTGGTGTCCTTTTTAACAGAGGAAGGCAACCTATGCAGTCACTGGCTCGTCACTGCAGGAAGTGGTGCCATACCCGGGCCTTACTGTTGGTCTCTGCTATCAGCAGATCTGGCACTCAAGAAGCAGCCGTAGCTAGGTAAGTCTTGGTGAGTGGAAGAGGTCCGTGTTGTCAGGCCCATGCATAGTCTCTATCTCTGCCACCATGGCCACTTTGTTCATGGTCCACTGGGCAATGACAGGAATGAGGCTGACTGTTTACAGAACAGGACATCCCATCTACTTGATTACTGGACTCTTCCTCAGCTGAAGTCACCTTTTGATGAATGTTTACATGGGACACAAGAATCTTCCTTTGCCTATCTGGAGAGCTCTCTCCACATACTTCTTCCCCAGATATCTTTCATGCTTCTAATCATGCCATCCAGCTAACAGCTCATGAGTTAGTGAACAATCACACATCTGGCCATTTTTCCTAGACCATGTGTCCTTGCCAGAGTTCTGCACAATGTGAAGGTTTCCCTCCTCTGGTGTCTTTCAGGGTTGTTCCAGAAAGGGGTTGTAATGCTGCAGCCCCCGCTGCTGGGTGGTGCCTGCATCACATTGCAGAACCGTCAGCAAACTAGACTCCAGTCTTCTCTTCCTCAGTCAACTTATCCAGGGCTCATCCCATGAAGCTATAGGTGCATGCTTGGCAGCAGATGGCATTGCAATGGGAGCAGAAACCATAGGCATTTGGGCAACTTCTTTATGTGGCTAGTTTGTGCCTTCATGATATCTTCAGGTCCAATCATGTATATATACTTTCCACTTGAAAATAGACTGCAGCTATGCACATCCTACTTTATGGTTCAGTGGGTCAAATAACACCCAGCTCATGATGGACAGCTCAGGTCACATGGTAACTTAGTAGCCCATTGTCAGATATTCAGTTTCCACTCAGGCCTCATAGTAGCAGGCCAAAAACTGTGTCTCAAAGGGAGCATAGTTGTCTGTAGATGATGCTCCAAATCCCAAAGGTCTCTTCTGTAGTCACCTGTAGAGGCCTGAAAAAGGCTCCAAACAGCACGTCTATCTGCCACTGATATCTCAGATACCACCAGGTCTACTGGACCATATGGTCCAAGTGATACACTGTAAGGTGTTACTTACTGGACCATTGTTACACTGTAAAGTGTTACTTACTGGACCATTGTTACCCTACGGCTGGTCAAGGAATTAGATCTCAGGCTCTGGATGGAGGGGCCACAGCAAGACTAAGGCTGTGACCATTTTTTTTTTTTAACTGAGAAGTTAGACTTTGTATACCCTTATCAGAAACAGAATATAGTGGCATTGCCAGGATCAATACAGTTGTAGTTGCCAGGATACAAAATTGGCAAGCTATTAATGTCTTAAGACCATTTTTTTTTTTTTAAATCAAGCCTCCATGGTTCCTTAACTTCTAAAGGAACATACAGAGAAACACAAAGTGGCCTCAACACTTTACTTCCTGAGGGAGTGCCTTAGTTTCTCAGGAACTGAAAGGCACACATGTCCCAGGAGCCATAGGTTTTAACCTGAAAAACATATAATGCATGCTTCTCAAGGTAGCTAGGCAAAGCCAACTCCATGGTTTCCTACAGTAGGTTAGCCTACACGGCATCCTGGACCCGTTGAAGAGCTTTGTCTTGTTCCAGGTCCCGCTTGAAGTTAGCAGCTTTCTCAGTCACCTGGTGCATGGGCCAG